CCTCCCAGGTTCAAGCGATTCTCCTACCTCAGCCTCCCGAGTAGCTGGGATTACCCGTGTGCACCACCACGCCCAGCTAACTTTGTATATTTAATAGAGACGGGATTTCACCATGTTAGCCAGGCTGATCTCGAACTCCCGACCTCTGGTGATCTGCCCACCTCGGCCTCCCAAAGTGCTGAGATTACAGGCATGAGCCACCATGCCTGGCCTTATTCTTAAGATTAGTGGGCTAATGTCTATAAAAGTGCTTTGTAACTATAAATACCTATACAAATAAAAGCTATTATTTTTATTCTAATCATTAGGGATAATCCAAAGCAGAATGCACATAAATGCAGTAGAGCACATTAAAAATGATAACAATGTTGAAAAGAGCAAAGTCACTTTCATTCATGGGGGATGTGCAGGTACTGCTCTTATATTAGAGCCATCACATATCCCCCATGAATAAAAGGGTGCGGAGGCTCACACCTGTAATCCCAGCACTTTGGGAGGCCAGGGTGGGCAGATCACTTGAGTTCGAAATCAGCCTAGGCAACATGGTGAAACCCCATCTCTACCAAAAAGACAGAAAGTTAGCCAGGTGTGGTGGCAACCACGTCTGTAGTCTCAGCTTCTCAAGAGGCTAGGATGGGAGGATCGCTTGGGCCTGGGAGGTGGAAGTTGCAGTGAGCCAAGATCCTGCCACTGCACTCCAGTCTGGGTGACAGAGCAAGACCCTGTCTCAAAAAAAAAAAAAAAAAAAAGAAGAATGACATGATCAGAGCTGCCCTGTAGGAAGATTATGCTGGCAGTGGAGGGCAGAAACTTTAGGGGGGTCAGCAAGGAAACAGACTAGTTAGTGGTCTGTCTCAGTCATTCAGGTGAGAAAAAGGAATCATAATTTTTTTTAGTGCCCAATAAAATAATTTTTCAGGTAAGAGAATAATCATTGAGGTAAAAGAAAGGAATAACAAAATTTTTGGTGCCCAATATATGCTTTTTATAGGTTATTTCACTTAATGAAAGTCATCAGAGGCTTGGAAAGGAATGGACCAATTTAAGAGCGATTAGATCAGGAAGGCTGGGGGATTTCCTCTCCTGAAGGATTTTAAGAGTGGGAGAGATAGTTGGGTACAATGGCTTTACCTCTGTAATTCCAGCCACTTGTGAAACTGGGGTGGGAGGATTGCTTGAGACTGGGAGGTCAAGGCTGCAGTGATCTGTGATCACACCACTTCACTCCAACCTGGATGGCAGAGTGAGACCTTGTCTCTTAAAATTAAAAAAAAAAAAAAAAAAAAAGAGACTGGTTATGGCTCAGCCTGGGAAGAGCACTTGAGAGGAAGTCTAAGGACCTGAACTCTCACTTCTGATCTCACCTCTATCACTGATGAGCTGTATGACTTCACACAATCCCCGTTGCTCATTGGTTCTCTCCTCTACCAAACCGTAGGGTGTGTTTGTTCGCTTTGCTTGTTTATTTATTTTTATGTTTATTTTTTTGAGTGGCCTGGGAGAGTGAAATGTTCTGGGATGGGGGTGTGGAGAGCATAGAGGTGTTCCAGAATAGTCACCAACATCAGCTTAAACACTTAATCAAATGTGATGTGCCTGGGTTTCCACAACAGGATGGGAAAAAGACTATGAAGTTTGGGGTCACACACATTTCAGTTTAACTCTTGATTCTATCATTTACAAGTTGTGTGACCTTTGGGCCAATTATTACATCCCTTTCCTGTTTTCTACTTTCCTCTTCCATAAAAGAAGGATAATAACATCCACATTTAAGGATTGTTGTGAGGACTAAATAAGACAGTACCTGGTACAAAATACCAGAGGGGGGAAAAAAGGTATGTTTCCTTCCTTCTATTTCTGTGATGCTCATATGCAGGTAGTCTTCCCTCCTGTCTCCCCACTTCTCTGCCTCCCTTCTCTTTCCCTTTCACCAGCACAAAGTATAATTCCCTCACTCCTGTTGCGACAGTACTAGTTTCACAGACCTTGAAATGGCACCTACACGGGAAAGGTGTTTTGACACAGTTCCTGCGGATTGTTGGCACAGGATGCTTGCACAGTCACACCCTGGCCACTCATCCAGCCGAAGCAGTCAGTGAATATCTGCTGGGAATGACTTCTGACTGTTGCTACCCTGGGAGACCCTGGGCGAGGGTCACATGGGCAAGGGGCTGGTGGAATGTGAGTGTGCTATACTGTGCCGGGTCGTTCACCCTTCTGCTGAGCGTCCCCTTTGCTTAGTGTAGACTTAGGTTCTGTCTTAGGGAGATCTGTCTCCCTTGGGACCTTCCTGTGCAAACTGGGGGATAAGAGATCGGAGAAAGGCATCAGGGCATGTACAAAGCAATATCAAAACTAATTGATACGATTCTTTGCTCTGTACTCCTCTGCCTCGCTAAAGTCACTTTATTTTTTCAAAATCTCCATGACCCATAACCACTCCATGCACAGAGATGCAAAAATGGTCAGTTAATGTCTAAGGCAAAAGTGTTGCTCTTGTTCCCCAGGCGACAGGGCCACCATTTTTATCAGTGTGAAACACGGAGTATTAGGGTATTAAGGAGACACTGAGAATAAAAGTAGGGAGATACTGGAAGGCTTGACCAGGGAGGGCTTGTGAAGATCTTTTTTTTTTTTTTTTTTTGAGACAGGGTCTCCCTCTGTCACCCAGGCTGGAGTGCAGTGTCTCAATCATGGCTCAGTTGATCCTCCTATTTCAGCCTCCCAAGTAGCTGGGACTACTGGGACATGCCACTACACTCAGCTAATTTTTGTGTTTTTTGTAAAGGTGGAGTCTCACTGTGTTTCCCAGGTTGGCCTCAAACTTCTGGGCTCAAGCGATCATCCTGCTTCAGCCTCCCAAAATTCTGGGATTGCAGGTGTGAGCCACTGTGCCTGGCCTTTCTGAGGATCTTGAATTCGGATGGAAGCAGGAGAGAGAGAAAGCAGGAGGAAGAGAAAGGCACCCCCAATGGTTACCACCCCCATGGTAACCATGGCTTTGAGGCCCTAAGAGTTAGGTACAAATGGGAAATAGGGGATGGGGAGTCCATACCAGGCTGTATGTGCAGGTGACCAGGGCTAAGGGGAAACTGAAGCCTACTGCTGCAACATGTCTAGGGTGACCAGGCTGACATGAGCAGTCCTGCTGGGATCCCCTGTGGTCTGGCACCATCAGGACCACTGCCTTCTTCCCGTTCCCCCCATCTAGGTATCCTTCCTGTGGTTTGAGGATTCTGGGACACCACAGGCTATCTTGGAGAGTATCTTGTTTCTCAGTTTTTTTTTTTTTGGTTTTTTTTTTTTTTTAAGGAGTGCAGTGCAGTGGCGCAATTTCGGCTCACTGCAGCCTCTGCTTCCCGGGTTCAAGCAACTCTCCTGCCTCAGCCTCCCAAGTAGCTGGGGTTACAGGCACCTGCCACCACAACCAGCTAATTTTTGTATTTTTGGTGGAAATGGGGTTTCACCATGTTGCCCAGGCTGGTCTCGAACTCCTGACCTCAATGTGCCCGCCTCGGCCTCCCAAAGTGCTGGGATTACAGGCATGAGCCACCACGCCCAGCCTTCAGTTCTCTTAAGGCCTTGTACCCTGAGTAGGGTTTCCCCTTTGACCTGGCTAAAGTAGAATCCTTGGTCTCCCCGCTGGGTTCAGTGTCCCTGACTGACCCTGGAGCAGGATATCCTTCTGGCCTGCTACCAGGAAGAATGGAGGCTCCCAGCTTGGGAACTGCATGGCTATAGGCAGAGGACCATGGCCACCTGGGCAACCTGGGCTAAGAATAGCCAAGGCCAGGGGTTGGAGGGGTCAGTGCCTTAAAGGGGCAGCATTGTGGGGACTGTACTCTAGAAGGGCAAGAGGTTCCTAGACGACTCAGGAGCTGAGACCAGGGGGAGGCCATGGACCCATGGGGCCAAACACTAGAGAGCACCCCGTCTTTTCATGGCTCATTCTCCCTGGGAAAATAGAAGTCTTACCATTTCCAGGGCCTGTCGGGTTGGGCGCTCTCCTCCTTAGACTCTGCTTTTTAATGCAAATGTCCCTGGGAAGGACTAACACCTTGGCCTCTCACACCCCTGTGTAAATGAGTATCAGATGTTTAGGGGTGTTTCATTTTTCTGCTTTTCTCTGGATTGAAAGACTGGAACTGCTTGAAAGCCGGTGTCCCTTTCCTTTCCTACCCTGGTCTGTGGGGACCCCAGGGCTTCTTTACACCTTCCTGATTTAGGGAATGACCAGCCACCCTCGGGGGGCCTGCCAGCAGGCCTGGGGGCATTTGGGAGAGGGCTCTTGTGAAGCTCTTCTGCCTGGGGCTCCTTCCATGGCATTCTCTTTGCCTGGGTGCCCCCAGCCTGCTGGAATGCAGAGAAGGAAGAGCCTGCTTGGGGAAGGGCCGGAGCTGCCCCCTGGTGCTGAGAGGGCCTGTTTTCCTTTTTCTTCTGGGTTTAACCTTTTTTCTAAGACTTCTTTGCCAGTGACACTAAGAATGTGACCTCGGCGCGGTGGCTCACGCCTGTAATCCCAGCACTTTGGGAGGCCCAGGCGGGTGGATCACGAGGTCAGGAGATCGAGACCATCCAGGCTAACATGGTGAAACCCCGTGTCTACTAAAAATACAAAAAATTAGCTGGGCGTGGTGGCGGGCGCCTGTGGTTCAGGAGGCTGAGGCAGAGAATTGCTTGAACCTGGAGGCGGAGCTTGCCGTGAGCCAAGATCACGCCACTGCACTCCAGCCTGGGTGACAGAGTGAGACTCCGTCTCAAAAAAAAAGACAAAAGAGTGTGATCTTATGGGTCTAGGCCAGCTTCCTCTCTTCTCTTCTCCTGGGAGAGCTGGTGAGGGAGTGAGTGAGCAGGAGGTTGTATGTGGGGGGAGAGTAGGGGGTATGTATGGGGAGGGTGTGAGGGGTATGGGATAAGCATGGGAGGTGTGCAGTGTGTATGTAGTGGGGAGACATAGATATGTGTGTGGGGTGCAGGGGGAAAAGTGTGAGGAGGGGTTGGGGGTTACACACGGTTTGTGTGATCCCTATAGCTTCAGGTCCCTGAGAGTGACTGTAATCTATTAGGGATTGCCTTGATATTTGAAGAGTTAGCATTACCTGAAGATATCCTGCTTTATCATTAGACTCTGAGTCTAGCTTGCTGGTTGAGGAACACCATGATGGCACAGGGATAGTGGGCCGGGCTGTGGGCACGTGGTGGAGAGCCTTCCTATCCCAAGGGAGGAAAGAAGCGTGGCGTGGGGGCTGGTCGGCGCCTTAGCTGGTTCCCATGGATGGCTGGCTCTGCCTTTTTCTGCTTGACTTCCTTTGGCCCTCCTCAGAGCTGAGCAGGTGGCTGTCAGCTGCTGGCAGCCCCCCACCCACACAGCCTGGCCCTGCCCATTGGCTCCTGCACCCAGGCTTACAGGCAGTCACCCCCGTCCTCCCTACAGACAGCACTACCACCTGGGAGCTGCTGGCCCTGCCTCCTCTACTCTTATGTGTGTGATCCTTCTGGGTACTGGGGCTCTGGCATATCTGTGCTGAGTGTATACTTGCAGGGGAGAGCACAAGCCTGGGGCCAAGAGTGTTTCTGAGTATTCCCACCATGCCAGCCTCCCTTCATCGGGTCTACAATCTTTTCCTGACTCTGGAGCAGCTCCAGTGGGAGACACAGTACAAAGCCACTTAGCCTTAGTGGTCCTCCATCTCATCGGGGACAGAAAGGAGGACCCTGTCATCAAGACGCGAGAGAGCATTTTGGACGTCTGAGAAAGGTGCGACCAGAAAGCACCCTAACAATTATTATAATTGAATGAATTAGAGACACTCGCTCAAAAAGAAAGTGTCAGCCCCCAGGAAGGATGTCTTCCTTCTGGAGGATGGTCTCACTGACATTATTCAGTGCCCTCTGGTCAGTCCGGTGCCTCTGCAGTTACCCCGACATACATCCTCATCCCCTTGCAGTGGGGCTGGGCCCTCATTTGAAGCACGCCTCCGCACTGCCTCCTTGCTCCTTGCAGACCCAATTGGGTTAGCCCGGCCCCACCGAGCCCAGTGCAGAGGACTTGGGGAGGCAGCTCCTCTGTCGTGGCCTCTCCTGTCCTCTCTCTGATGAGCCCTCCAGGCAGAGCAGAGCCTTGTTGGTATGTTGTTTCCTCACTTTGGTGCCCTGGCTGGATGGGAACAGCTGGGACTTGCTCTATGGACTCTGCTGAACAGGCTGGCATCCTCCAGGGACTTTTCCCCACCCACACAGGAACGAATCCTGCAGAACTGGATTCCCAAGGGCGTGAGCTAAGGAAGCTGAACTGAGGTTGGAGGTGACAGTGGTGACAATCTAGGCCTTGCAGGAGACCTCAGTTTATAGGAAGCAAATGCTGTGTTGAGGCAAAGCTGAGAAAGGTGGTAGATAGGGAAGGCCAGGCCTAAAGAGAGCTACTGTGTCTTCGTCTCCAACTCCACCCATTTTCTGTGTCCTCTTTCAGAGGAGCTTCTTTTCTACTTCGCAGCATCTACAGTATTTTCAGAGCATTTAGGGTTTCCTAGGTGTTGCTTTTTGGAAATTCTGTGGCTGTTTTTCTGATACGGGATGGGCTGCTGTGAAAGTTGTGTGTAAAGTTCCCTCAGTGGTCTCCTCAGCTGGAAGCCAAGGTTGGTCAGGGGAGGTCATCCTGGGACCTTTCCTGTCCCCCTACCTTTCTCTGGAAGGCCAAGAAAGCTGGAGGAGTCCCTCATAACTACTATGCCCTTAGAGGGAACCTGGGGTGAACTGGATGGGAAGGATTGGTTCTTGGGTGAGGGAAGAGGGGAGGAGGAAGCAGGAAGTAGGAACCAGACAGAGATGAGATGTGGCTGCTCTGGCTCCTGGGATGATTCCTGGGTTAGAAATACACATACTGCCAAGGCTTTTCTTCCGTCTTTGCCAAATGTTCCATTCAGTTGATTGCCAGCTTCTGGTCCCTGGCCCTGCAATCAAAATTGCCAGCTGTAGAGGAAGGAAAGTTTTTAGAGGAGCCACAAGCTGTCTCACCTCTTCCATCCTGGTCTCTCCTCATACGCAGAGCCCACAGTCTATAGGGTATGTGGCAGGAGCTATGATCTCCAAGGATTCTATGTGTGTGCATGAGGCCAAATGGTTTCTGAGCTAGAATCGGGGTCTCTGAGTTGGAGTCAGCAGGGCATGCAGACCTGATTTTATGTAGCTGTGACCCACAGGCTCCAAGCTCCTGTCCCTCTGCTTGTCTAGGACCCAGAAGGACTTTCACTAAACTCTTTTGTGCACTTTGGCTTCAAATTAATGGAGAGTCCAGGGTATGGTATGCCCAGGGAGTAGAAGGATGGAGAGTAAGTCCTGGTAGGAAATGCCAGACTGTGTGGGGCTGCTTTAGTTTAGCTATAGAGGTCACTAGAGAGGGGATGTATAAGTGGGAAGAAAACACAAACTGTTATTTTCTGTCTTCTCACATTTGAAACTAAATGAGAGGTACTCAGAGGGCACGCACTCTAGAGCAGAGAAATACCTTATTGGTGCATGTGATTCCATAATAGACCTGCCATCAAAGAAGCTTATAGAGCTGTAGACAACCTGTGGGTTTTCCATAAGGAAACAGGGATCAGATGCACATCTGTTGGAGGCTGGGAGCTGGCCTGCTTGACCTTAATACATCTCCCTGCTGGAGGAGTCGGATTCCTGGCAGAGTGTGTTGATGTTCCCTGTTAGAGCCGGGCTGTGGGAGGGGCAGGTGGAGCCAGTGGCACGTGTGTGGAGTGAGATGCAGGGCAGCGTCCCCGGCTGCAAAGCCAGTGGGATTGGAGGTATGGGTGAGTGTGGGTGCTGGGGGATGGACAGAAGTGGAGGTCCTCTCTGAAGAGAAAAACCTGGACACCAAAGGGTTTAAGTCCTCATGGCTTCTGACTCCCTGACCCTGCCTGCCCTTAGGGGAGGTGCTGAGGGTCCCTTCCTGGGGAAGTCCTAGAGCTGACTCTCTTCCCTTAGTAAAATCTACTGAAAATCAGGATGCCCAAGACTGGGGGCTTGAAACCCTGCATATTCTTCACCACCTTGCTTGAGAGCTTTCTATTTTCCCTGCCCACTGAAGATGGTCCAAGAAATGCAGTACCTTCTTACTTCCTGCTTTACACCCCAAGAGGGGATTGGATTCTTTATGTATGTGTCTGCCACCTTTGCTAGATTGTAAGCTCCCTGGAATTGTGCCATAGTCATCTGAATACTTCTAGTCTTTAGATATGTATGTGCCTGGCATGTAGCTGGTACTCAACACCCATTGGGATCCAATCTGTGGCTCAGGGTATGGGGAAGAGATGACCCAGACCCCTCTAGATTCTCCCAGTCCCAAGCAGAACCATTCTGTTAGGCTGCCTTCCAGCAAGACAGCAGGAACCCTCACCACCCACTGGCTCCAGTGGTGGCCCCTGGGCTCCTCCCACTCTGGCACAGGGACTAAACAGAGCCAGCTCCACTGGAGGGAGTGCCCTCTCCTTTCTTTCCACCCTTTGACTCTGAACCATTGTGTCACTCTGTCCTGACCCCATTTCCTCCCTGGCCAGCCCTCAGCCATCTGTGGGCAGCTGTGAGACTGAGTTTGGTGCCTGGTGCAACTCAGACCCTGGCACCGACCTGCTTGGCCATAGGCATATCCTCTTGTTTCATCAGCTGACTGTGCTTTTTGGGGTGCCTCTACCCAGGTCCTCTTGTCTTCCTGAGAGTTCTGAAACCCTCTTCTGTGGGGTCAAATGTGGCTGCACATTCGAATCACTTTAGGGGCTTTGGAAGCATCCAGCATCTAGGCACTCACCCGACTGAGTCAGAACCTCCAGAGGAGAGGCCGGGAATGTGTATATTTTTAAAGCTTCCCAGATGACAGACAATTGCAGTCACTCAAATATGCAGTGTGCATTAGATGACATTATTGTTGTCAATGTTAAGTTTTGTGGGTGTGCTCATGGCATTGTGTTTACATAGGAGAATGCCCTTGCTCTCAGAGATTCAGACTGAAGTTTTTAGAGGCAAAGTGTTTCTTACACACACTTTGCAAAGGGCATCTTACTTTCAAATGGTAAAGTAGAACAAGAAAGAGAGCAAATGTGGGGAAATGTTAACAATTATTGCAGGCAGGTGGTGAAAGAAAACTTGCTGTAACAGACCTTCTGGACGATTTCCATCTGTTTTCTAGGAGGTGGACATTAGGAGAGAACGCAGCCTGAACCACCAAGGTGTATAACTCCAGGAGGCACCATTCACATGGTTTTATTTTTTGTGGTCAGGGGTTGTCATTCACATAGAATACAATGTGTGGGGTGCCCCCTGGAGTTGTGTGACATTGTGGCACTGGCCCCAGCCATCTCTCCCTGGATGGGCTGCAGAGTAGCAGAGATGCAGGCCCTGATCTACCCTTCCTCTTTCAAGGGACCGATGTGGCGATTTGTTTTTATACAGAATCCCTAGTAGCCCTTGAAGACTAAGGGAATAGAGCACTCTTTATTTTTATTTTATTTTATTTATTTTATTTGAGACAGGGTCTCTGTCACTCAGACTGGAGTGCAATGGCATGATCATGGCTCGCTGTAGCCTCAAACTCCCAGGCTCAAGCAATCCATCCACTTCACCCTTCCAAGTAGCTGGGACTACAGGTGCATGCCACCACACCCAGCTAATTTTTTCCCCCCAAAGGATGGTCTTGAACCCTGGGCTCAAGCAATCCTCCCACCTCAGCTTCCCAAAGTGCTGGGATTACAGATATGAGCCACCACGCCTGGCCCTAGAGCAATTTCTAATGTAGAACCTGACAGAGAGAGAACCGAATTGGGGAAGGGGGGAGGCAGGAAACATGAAACCCTGATTCCTAAAATACTTTCTGCGTGTCCTCTAGTCCTGGAAAATGAAATCTAGGGCTTGAATTTTTAGAGGAAGCCAGCTCGCTGTGTTTCAAGGTCGTTGGGACTGGTTGCTCCTGCCTTTCCGTCTCTGGAGTTCCCTCATGTCTGGCTGCTGCTCTCTGAACCTTTACTTCACCTTGGGGGTGGCCCTCCTGGTCCTGTGAGGGATGCTGTTTGTCCTGTTTCCTCACTGCCACCTCTCAGCATCATAGTGAGCTGAGTGCTGAGCCTTTGGGAGGAGCATTGCCAGTGTGGCCCCGGGCGTGAGATCTGTCAGAGAGCTGGGCTTCCTTCCCTGTGTGGCTGAGACAGTCTAGTGGTGGCCTGTCCCAGAGCCAGGAGGATGGTGGTTAGAGACGGGTAGCTCGCCTTTCCTCCGTCTGAATTCCAGTCTGGGAAGAGCTTCAGGAACAGCGCCTGCTTGGATCACCCTGGGATCACCCTTTCCTTCTCTTTCCTGTAACTTTGGAGTCCTCTCAGAGATTTGACCTAAGGAATTGGTACGTTGGAATCAAGGAATCTCAGAGCTGGAAGGCACTGTGTGTGGTTTTCTTGTCATCCTTGCACCTGTCTTACAGATGCCAATCCAACCTGGTTAGTTCCAAAACCCAGTCCTGTGTTTGAAGGATACTAAGGAGCACACCCGTTACATCCTGACCACCCATCTCCATGTCTGAAAATTCCCCACCTCCCAGAAGGTTCTGCCCTGATGTTCCAGTTCAAGCTCAGTGGAAATGATGGGAATTTGGAACTTGAGGAACATAGTAGGGGTGATAGATCCATAAGCATGTAATTTTGAACAAAATGTCTTAAGCCTGTGTTTGAAATATACACTGGTTGCTATTGGGAGCCAATAGCAACTAGCAATTTGGGACAACTTGAACCAAATCACAGAGGTATCACATACATGGTCATGAATGGTTGGAGATGAGAGGGAGAGCAGGGCAGGAGAGAGACTTATGAGAAACCAGAGAGTCTTTGAAGGATCTTAAGCAGGAAGCAAGGTGATGAAATTTACATTTTAGGAAGAGCCCTCAGGATGTTCTGTGAAAAAGCCTTGAAGAGGCCAAGGTTAGTAGGGGGAAGGACTATTAGGAGGCCGTTGTATTAGCCCAAATGAGGGAAGATAAGGGCCTGAATTAGGGCAACCACAGTTAGAATAGAAGGAAAGATTAGCTTTGGGAAGTATTAAGGAGGAAAAGGTGGCATGCGTTGGCAATTGGAGAGAGGAGTGAAAGGAAGGGGGACTCTAGGATGACTGCAGGATTTCGGCTTCGGGGACTGGGTGGTGCCATTCACCACAATGGGGAACCAGGAGCAAGGAGCAGATTGTGGGGAGGAAAGAAGATGATAGTTGAGTTTTGGACATTTGGATTTTGAGATATGAGTGGGCATATAAACTTGAAGGAGAGATACATATTTGGATTCATTAACATGTGAGTAGTATGGCTAGGAAACAAGAATAGATAAGATTGCCCGAGCAGAGGGGGTAGAGTTAACAGTAAGCTGAGAATAGAATCCTGAGCCAACACCAACATTTCAGGGGTGGACAAAGGAAGAGGAAGACAAAGAAGGAGGAGATGGAGAACAGGAAAAAAATATCTTCGTGAAAGCCAGGGGGAGAGGGTTTAAGGAAGAAGGGAATGGTTTGTAGAGCCAAACACAGCAGCAGTGTCCAGGCAGGTGGAAATGGCTACCGAACTGGGCAGCCCAGGCATTGTTGCAGGAGCAGTTTTAGTGGGATGTAGGGGGCAGGCACCAGATTACAGTGAGTTAAAGAGTAAATGGGAAGGGAGAATTTGGAAATATCAGGTGTAGTCCACTCTCTGGAAGCTTGGCTGAGAATGGAAGGATGAACAGAGAGGACAAAAAAGTTAAGGGGAGCCGGGTGCAGTGGCTCACTCCTGTAATCCCAGCACTTTGGGAGGCTGAGGCGGGTGGATCACCTGAGGTTGGGAGTTCGCGACTAGCCTGACCAACATGGAGAAACCCTGTCTCTACTAAAAATACAAAATTAGCTGGACGTGGTGGCACATGCCTGTAATCCCAGCTACTTGGGAGGCTGAGGTAGGAGAATCACTTGAACTTGGGAGGCAGAGGTTGCAGTGAGCCCAGATCATGCCGTTGTACTCCAGCCTGGGCAACAAGAGCAAAACTCCATCTTAAAAAAAAAAAAAAAAAGTTAAGGGGAGGTGTTTTAGGGTGTGGGGTTTTTCCTTTCTTGTTAAGATTAGATGAGGCATGTTTATATGCTGAAGAGAAAAACCACATTAAGGAGAAGAGATTGAAGATACAGGAGAGGGAGGGGAAATCCATGGAGCATTATCCTAGAGATGAAATGGATGGGGCAAGAGCAGAAGAGGGTTGTGCCTCAGCAGGAGGCAGGAATCTGCTTCCCCTGGGCCAAAAGGAAGAAAGTGAAGCTGAGTGCAAGTGTGCATAAGTGAGTGTTGGAAGAGAGGCTGGAAGTTGAAAAAGATTTCCAATGGCCTGAATTTTCCTCCTCACAATAGTGCCTGCTAAGGCAAATCTTAATACTCTGCTTGTCCTAGCTCAGCACTGAAAATACACAATCATTCTCTGGATTAACATGCCTAAGCCCAATCCAACTTTGAGCATTTATCTGGTGTCTTCTATCTGTAAGGCACTAGGCCCTCCTTTTCCTGGGACCAGTCTCCCAGCTCCAGGCAGCTAGGTTCTGGATATCTCCATCTGCTTATGCTACCCCTTTGAATTTCAAATAGCAAGACTCCCTTATACCCACTGTGGATAAAAAGTGATCTGTAAGGAGCTGTGGAAAGGCAGAGAAATTAAGTTAACAGTGAACTGCTTTAGATACCCTGAGGCTGGGCTTGGGCCGGTCTCTCCTTGGTGAACTCATTCCTAAGTGCAATAGTTGTCAGATTCACTGAGCCAGAACCCTTCAGACCAGGGTCCTGTGCCTATACCTGACAGATGTACCAGGGTCCTGGGAGGGCACCCCAGGGAAAGGGATAACTTTGTCCTAACTTATTTTGAATCTAAGCAACTTGCCACCCAAGAATCTATCTGAGTCTTTTTCCTATTGATGTTTTCAACATTCTAATCATGAGGAGTAATTTCATGTTTGTTACCTGTTGGGTGAAGCAGTACAAGAGAATGAACATTTTTTGATAATTTTTATGGAACTGTCAACCTTTTGGCTGCTGATGCTAAGAGTCAGAAGTGACTACTTCACACTGGTCTCCCCTAACCTAATCACAAACACACATTCATAGATTCACAGTTCTCAGGTTGGGCTACACATTAGAATCTCCTGGGGAGTTTTTAAAAAATACGATTACCCTACCGCAGATCAATTAAATCGGAATCTCTTGAGAGTGTTCGGGCTTGAGTACTTTTTTTTTTTTAGACAAAGTTTTGCTCTTGTTGCCCAAGCTGGAATGCAATGATGCAATCTCAGCTCACTGCAACCTCTGCCTCCTGGGTTCAAGTGATTCTCCTGCCTCAGCCTCCTGAGTAGCTGGGATTACAGATGGATGCCACCACGCCTGGCTAATTTTTTGTATTTGCATGTTAGCCAGGCTGGTCTCGAATTCCTGATCTCAGGTGATCCGTCTGCCTCAGCCTCCCAAAGTGCTGGGATTATAGGCGTGAGCCACCGCACCCGGCCGGCCTTCAGTACTTTTTAAAAGTTCCCCCAGTGTTGCTAATGTTGCAGCTGGGGTTGAGAACCACTGGGCCAGACTGACCTTGTCATTACCACCATTTGTTGAGTGCTTCTCAACTCTGTTCACATCATGGCTTCTAGAGAAAAGGATACCAGCACTGAAGTAAGTGGAAGCACTGGCCTGGAGATCCTGTGTGGCCTTCTGAGGGCTGTGGGGGGGCGGGGGGCGGGGGGCGGGCGGGGAAATCAATATTTTGGCACACCTGTATAAGATCAGGTAGCCGGGTCTCACCTGTTGGCAAGCTTTGTTTTCTTTTATATATTGCTGTATTTGGGGAGGATCCTAGTGCAAGCTGAGTAATTACAAGGTCCGTTTAACAGGGTTCTCTTGTACTTTTCATTTATAGTTTTATTGAGGTGTAATTGACATATAATAAAATATGCATATTGAAAGTGTATAGTTTAATAAGTTTTGACATGTGAGTATACCAATGATGCCATGACCACAATCAAGATAATAACCACCTCCAAAGGTTCTCTTGTGTCCCTTTGTAATCCACCCCTTTTTCCACTCTGTCCCCCAGATACCGCTGATCTGCTGTCATTATAGATCAGTTTGCATTTTCCAGAATTTTATATAAATGGATCTTACATACTCATACTGTTTTTTCTGGCATCTTTTACTCAGCAAAGCTATTTTAAGATTATCCATGTTATTGCCTTTGTCAATAATTCATTCCTTTTTATTGCCAAGTAGTATTCAATTGTATAGACATCACATTTTAAAATATCCATTCACTGTTGATGGACATTTTGGGATATTACAAATAAAGCTGCCGTGGATATTCATGAGCAAGTCTTTGTATGGACATATGCTTTTATTTTTCTTGGATAAGTAGGAGTGATAGTTGAATCCTATGTTAGGTGTGTGTTTACCTTTTTAAGAAGCTGTCTGTTTCCCAGAGTGGTTGTACCATTTTACAGTCCCCACCAGTAGTGTGTGAAAGCTGTCCTCTTCAAATTGACTGGAGAAGGTTTGCTTCCATCTCTTCTTCTTAGGTAATAGAAGGTGCCTCTTGGCTGGGTGTGGTGGCTCACGCCTGTAATCCCAGCACTTTGGGAGGCCGAGGCAGGTGGATCACCTGAGGTCAGGAGTTCGAAACAAGCCTGGCCAACATGACAAAGCCCCGTCTGTACTAAAAATACGAAAATTAGCCAGACACAGTGGTGGGCACCTGTAATCCTAGCTACTGGGGAGGCTGAGGCAGGAGAATCACTTGAACCTGGGAGGCGGAGGTTGCAGTGAGCCAAGGTCACACCATTGCACTCCAGCCTGGGCGACAGAGTGAGACTCCGTCTCAAAAAAAAAAAAAAAAAAAAGAGATGCCTTTCTCTTTTTGGGGCACAAATGACAGAGGTGAGTATAGGGATTAGGGCGCAGAGATGAGGCATGTAGAGATGAATGGATGGGTAGTTGGATATAATAAATAGGTAAAGTTGTCTTGGTATCCCTTTTTTCCTCTGTCTTTCTATGCTTTCCATTAGTTGTACACACCAAAGAAACAGGCACTGGCCCAGATTATGTCACCTAAATTGGATTATTAGTAAATCTCTCTTTGTGACTGATTGATATTTTTACCCCTGCAGATGCCCACACAGCATGTCACAACCCTCCAGAACTGACGTTGGCAGGAAGTAGAGACTTCTTTGTCACCTGTGTCCCCCATCCTCGCCATGTCTTCGACTCAGGGCAATGGGGAACACTGGAAGTCCCTGGAGTCGGTGGGCATCAGCCGCAAAGAGCTGGCGATGGCCGAAGCCTTGCAGATGGAGTATGATGCCCTGTCCCGGCTCCGGCATGACAAGGAGGAGAACAGAGCCAAGCAGAACGCAGACCCCTCTCTCATCAGCTGGGATGAGCCTGGGGTAGACTTCTACAGCAAGCCGGCAGGAAGGCGGACCGACCTCAAGCTGTTACGCGGTCTCTCTGGCTCTGATCCTACCCTCAACTACAACTCACTCTCCCCACAGGAAGGGCTGCCCAACCACTCTACCTCCCAAGGGCCCCAGCCTGGCCCAGATCCCTGGCCCAAAGGCTCCCTGTCTGGAGACTACCTTTACATTTTTGATGGTTCAGATGGGGGAGTTTCTTCATCCCCAGGACCAGGGGACATAGAGGGCTCTTGCAAGAAACTATCCCCACCTCCTCTGCCTCCCCGAGCTTCTATCTGGGATACCCCTCCCCTGCCTCCCAGAAAGGGGTCCCCCTCATCCTCCAAGATCTCCCAGCCCAATGACATCAACACTTTCTCATTGGTCGAACAATTGCCGGGCAAACTGCTAGAGCATCGGATCCTAGAAGAGGAAGAGGTGCCGGGAGGTGGGGGTCAGGGGCGCCTACTGGGGTCTGTGGACTATGATGGTATCAATGATGCAATTACTAGGCTCAACTTGAAATCGACCTATGATGCGGAGATGCTGCGGGATGCCACCAGGGGCTGGAAGGAGGGCCGAGGGCCCCTGGACTTCAGCAAAGACACCTCTGGAAAACCCGTGGCCAGGAGCAAGACTATGCCCCCTCAGGTGCCCCCCCGCACCTACGCCTCCCGCTACGGCACCCGAAAGAATACGACGCCTGGCAAGAACCGCCGGATTTCTGCAGCCCCGGTGAGCACCTTCTTGTGTTTCTTCTGCCTTCCTTTCTCCATGTCCTTCAGAAACAGGGACTAGTCTCTCTGCTGTTCTACATCCAACTCTGCCAAGTCCTTACCCCTTTAGGCCTCTCCTACCCTCTTTTTCTGCCACTGGGACCCTGGCTCTGGCAGGGGAGGTCCAAGGGAGGCTTGATTTGGGGTGGATACCAGTAAAGGGAGGGCTCCTTCTCAGGGCCAGGTTTCATGTGTCTTGGCCAAAATGGTCCTTCTGGGGCAGGCATTTGGAAATCCTGGTTCCTAGCGTGTGCCTGCTTCCTGATGTAAGGACTGAATTGGGAGTTAGGGGATTCATTATTGACTGGCTGAATGGCCCTCTGGACCGGAGCAAGTTGCTTCCGCTTGCTCTGAGGCCCTGCTCTGCCAAAAACGCTGCGTGGCGATGAAGATCATTCACAATAGTAACCACTTGTTTAGTGCCCACTGAATGCCAGACCCTGGTCCAGATCTCCACAACAACCCTTCCTGATAGTCCAAAGCCACACAGCAAGCAATAGCAGGGCCAGCATTCAGCCTGGCCTCTCTCATTCCTAAGCCCTCTCTCTCCTCTCCTTCTCCCTTTCTCTCTCTCTCTCCTCTCTCTCTCTCTCTCTGCTCTGTTCTTTATTGTGATAAAATATATATAACGTAAAATTCGCCACCGTAACCATGTGTAAGTGTGCAGTCAGTGGCACTGATGACATTCACATTGTTGTGCAACCCTTGCGTTATTCATCTCTACCCATTCTGTTCTCACAATGAAAATATTTAGAAAAAATATGCAGCATGACAAATAATTTTATTTTTATCAGTACATAGTGTAAAATAGCGAACTATCTAGGTCAAAGCCCCCAGGCAGGGACCAGGGCAGCTCTGATCTTTTTTCTGGTTTAGGGGAGCTTCAGCAGCATCTCCTTCTGGTCCTTCTGGTGGGACCAGAAGGCCTCTTTGTGTTTCATCCTTGGTCGCTGGAAACCCTGGCTGCAAGGAGTCAAGAGACAAGTGACACCCCCATGGCTGATACCTTTTTTTTGAGATGGAGTCTCGCTCTGTCACCCAGGCTGGAGTGCAGTGGCATGATCTCGGCTCACTGCAGCCTCCGCTTCCCGGGTTCAAAAGATTCTCCTGCCTCAGCCTCCCAAGTAGCTGGGATTACAGGCACCTGCCACCACGCCTAGCTAATTTTTGTATTTTTAGTAGAGATGGGTTTCACCACATTGGCCAGGCTGGTCTCGAACTCCTGACCTCAGGTGATCTGTCCACTTTGGCCTCCCAAAGTGCTGGGATTACAGGTGTGAGCCAATGCCCCTGGCTGCTGATGCCTTCTGTGACAGCTTAGCATTCCGCTTCATTCCGTCCCGGTTTCCTCCTTAGCCATTGTTTAAGGGGCACTGGGGTTTTCCCACCTTGTGTCTAGCCTTTGGGAACCTTCCCAACTCTGAAGAGCTACACAGTTCTTCCTTCCTCTGCTTCTGCTAAGAGAGGCCCCCAAAAGCAGAATCAGCTCCTGGGATAAGCCACATCCCATCCCTAGAGCTCAAGGATTTTTAAAGGCCTTGCTCTGAGAGGTGGGGCTGTTCCCGCTATTTATAGGGACTGGGAGATTCCTGTTCCCAGCTCTGAGTTCCTCACACCGGGCTGGGCCTGCTCACTGTGTCAGGGCACCCTGGTAGGTGGTCACCTCTGTCACTCCTTCTCTCTCCTGCCTCCCCCACTCCCTCACCCTTTCCCTTCCCCATCCCCTGCATGTCATCAGAGTTCTGAGACAGAGCTCAGCCCAGAATCTCCTTGAAGAAGCGGGCACAAAGCAAAAAGCTCTTGCCAGTTCTGAGTGGGGAAATGCGGCCTTGGTCCTCCCCGGCTCGGCTTGTTGCAGGGGCTCAGCCTGCTGGGAGGGGGGACCCCTTGGGCCCTCGGCCTATACCACCGCCCCGCTTTCGTCGGGCTTCCAGCCGGAGGGAACCTCCTTATCCCAGGCCAGCGGAGCCAGCTCTGGAAATGGCTGGCTCCGAATGCCAGCCTGATACCCCCGCTGCCAGCCTCTGCCCGGCAGACTCCCCCAGCCAGCATTGGGCGATGCCACCAGGGCCTGCCAGCCGGGCAAACGTAAGTGGCTTTTGTTTTCTTATGGTGCCAGTGAGTGGTACAGAAAGGGCATGACAGTAGCTTTCAGTGGCCACTCTGTTCTCTCCCTCTCTCCCTGTCTTGCCTTGTCTTCCCTCCCCCCACTGTCTCTCTCTCTTTTTTTCTTCCTCTCTCTCTCCTTCTCTCTCTTGTGGGTTAATTGCTGACAGTGGTACTATTGTTTTGACTGGGACACAGGCACGCACTTGGCAGAGCCAGGGCCTCACATGCCAACTGTTCCCACTGCTGCCCTCCCCCCTGTGCACCCCCGCCCCCCGGCGCCCATGCACACCCAGGGGAGCAAGGCTAATAAGAGAGGGTCAACCAGAGGAAACAGTCTGGATATTCAAATGAGGAGCTCAGTTGCTGTCATCTGCCCCAAGAGGCAGGGAAGACTTGAGAGTAGCCGGTGGGTTGGATGAGAGATGTGAGGCGTTGCGATGTGCACAGGCCAGAGCTAGACTCCCCCCAGAAACAGCTGTTGGAACCACATGCCGGCCGAATCTCCATCTGAGCTGAAGCCTCGTTCCCCGGTATGGCCTCCCAGGCTGCCCTGAGCAGACTTCTCAGGCAGAAACCCGTCATGCACCAGCTCTCCCTCCCCCTCACTTCCTTCTCCCTAGGGCTGGGCTACAGGCCTTGCTAGGGGCTTCTTGAGGAAGCCTCCTGGGTGACTAAAAGCAGCTCTGGGATGGGAGACCGTTTGGGACCTTGTCTGAGAATCCCACCACCACACACATATTTTGAGAGAGGAAGTGGGGCCAAGGCAGGATCCCTGACATTCCAGTTGTTCAGAGCCAGCTGACTCGGAAGCCAGAGGAGCCAAGCTTCTACCAGGTCCTCCCCTGCCCAGACCACTGCTTTGACGCTTTCTTCCTCAAATGGCATTTACCCAGAAGGCACATGTGTCTGAGTCATCTCCTCTATCTAAGGGTTCTGGGTCTCTCTCTGCTTTGGGTCCCTGGGACTGGTGGATATTGAGGCTTTTGACCAGGGCCAAGCTTCCCTGGGTACCATTTGGGCAGCCCACGTGCTCTAGCCTCAGTGGAGGGGCTGGGAAAAACAGCTGACTGCTCTTCTCCCCATCACGCCTCTGGGAGAATCCCCCAGAAAGCCCTTGTTGCAGGAGCGGCCCAACAGCACTGGATTGCCTTACCGGCTGCCTCACGCTTATCAGACTGTCCCCTCCTAAAGCAGCTTTGGCCACACTCTCGTCCTTGTCACCCAGGCTTCAGTACTCAGCCAGAGCTTCACCTCCTTCTTCAACTTGGCTCCTGGTCTCCTAGGACAGCTGATACATGTATTCCCGGATGTCCCATATGTTCTTGTACCCCTTTCATTGAATGTTGAGTGACTAGAAAATCTTTTCATCTAGAGTTTGAGTTTAGGTCTGGGTGTACCTCATAGGGAGGGGACACCATGAGAGAAAAGGCACTGAGTCGTCTCCTCTTCTCTTAAAGGTGGGCTCCCGGCCCCACACCGTTGCCAATGGCCATGAGTTGTTTGAGGTCTCAGAAGAGAGAGATGAGGAGGTTGCTGCATTTTGCCACATGCTGGATATGTAAGAGCTAAAGAATGGGGCAGGGGATTTGGGAGGGCTATGGGGGATGGGGAGGAGGGCCATCCATTTCAGAACTTCCTTTAGGAGGGAAGAAGCACCATAATTAAATAAATCTCAATTCATAGCTATGAAATGCTTCCTACAACAAGTATCTGCAGGGTTTTTTAAATCTTATAAGTTTCACATTTTTAACAAAATTCGTGAAACCTCCATTGACTGGTCAGAGTATCCTGATCACTCTAGGGTCTGACCCTCAGTTGCCCTTAGGAGCAAATAAATGCACCCCAGCTGGCGATAAGAGTGTTATCTGGAACTAAAAGAGAAAGGAAATGGATTCATAAAAAATTTTCCATTAAACTTAGCATGGAAAACTTTGTCATTTTAGAACTATTTGTACTGTTCAACGGTGGGAAACATGTTGCAATTAGAAGTGTCAAGATGGGGGTTTCTCAGAGCTGCTACCCCACTGCCCCCATCCTGGCCTGCAAATTTGGAGGGCTGGGCTGAGTGGGGACAGAGGGGCTCTTGAGCCTCCGAGCACGAGGGTTCCAGCAGACCTCTTCTCGACTACTCTCTTCTAAAGGCACAGTGAGGGTACTTTTTCTTCCCGTACAGCCTTCGATCTGGCTCTGACATCCAAGACTACTGCCTCACCGGCTATGTCTGGAGTGCTGTCACCCCCAGCCCAGAGCACCTAGGGGATGAAGTCAACCTGAAGGTGACTGTGTTGTGTGACAGGCTTCAAGAGGCACTCACTTTCACCTGCAACTGTAAGTTAGTGATGGGGGAGAGGGTGTGAGCATCCCTTGAAGTGGGATGGGGATGACTGTGTTTTGGACTCCGTTCCCACCTCATCTTGTGGCCCAGATGAAGGGCAGTGAGGATGCTCCTTTGGGGGCGGGGGTGCTGGCTTTGGGCCCAGCTTTCTAGTGCAGTCACTTTCCCCAACTCTGAACTACTTGCCTGCTTTGTCTGGTTGGTGATGGTGCTGGAGAATACTTAGCTGGGAAGGGGGATCAGGGTGGGAAAACTGAGACCCATCTGCCCTGACATCCATCATCATCGTTTCCCCTGCCTTACCCTTCACAGGTTCCTCCACTGTAGACTTGCTTATCTACCAGACTCTGTGCTACACCCATGATGACCTGAGGAATGTGGACGTGGGTGACTTTGTGCTAAAGCCCTGTGGGCTGGAGGAGTTCCTGCAGAAGTGAGTGAATGGGTGGGAGGTAGCCCCTGCCTTCCTGGTAATAAGACTGTGAGGGGGCTTCCTGGGATTGGTGCTGGGACCGGCCTGGCAGCTCCGCCCCAATCCCACAGTCAAGACTCCTGCTTTCTGGGCATACTCTCGGCCACGTCGCACTTTCCCCAGGAGCTCTGTCTTCCAGCGGGGTTGGCTGACGTCCTGAGCCAAGTCTGCTGTGGAAAGAGCTTGGAGCTGGGATTAGGCAAAGACTAGGTCATATCTGCTTGCAGATTCTGCTTATGGAGGGATGTGTGTATTTGTGGGGAGGAGTGGACTTGGGGAGACTATATGGGTAGGGCTGTATCTCCTGCTCTAGATTATGTGTGGTGTTTTTACGGCTGGGGCAAAAGGAGGACTGGGCAGAAGTGCCCTTGTGGAGCCTAGGGAAGAAATTACAATTACTGTCTCTCCCCATTCTCCTGCCAACAAGCCTTTTCCCCAGCTGGCCCGTGCAGCTAGTTATCCTCCTCCCAAAGGCATGCCTCCAGCTCCTCTCTATCCAGTGCCCTCTGTGGAAAGCAGCCTCCCTGGAAAGTCTGATGTGGACCAGCTGAGGCAACCCCCTTTCCACTACCCTGGGCTTTGGAGGGCTGCAGTGGAAGGGAGGCAGGGGCAAGGTTGCCACTTCTCAGATGGTACAGCTGTGTGACAGCAGACAGATAAGATCTGCTTTCCTCTCTTAGGCTTCAGGGCCGCTCCTCCCCCAATCTCTGTCCACTTGGAGGAAGCACATCTTGGGAATGGAGAAAGGAGAGACCTGTGTCTCACTTCTTAGGAGTGCCGTATAAGTGCCACTGCTTGCTTTTTCTCTCTCTTACATCCAGGTCTAGATGCAAGGATGGTTGATCTATGGCTAGAGCATAAGATTTGGCAGTCAGGATGGAAGATTCATTTCTGGGCTTCTTTCTTTTTTTGAGACAGAGTCTCGCTCTGTCACCCAGGCTGGAGTGCAGTGGCGCCATGTCATTCAGCTCACTGCAGCCTTCACATCCCAGGCTCAAACTATTCTCATGCCTCAGCCTCCTGAGTAGCTGAGATTACAGGCATAAGTGCCACCAAGCCCGGCTAATTTTTGTATTTTTTAATAGAGATGGGGTTTCACCATGTTGACTAGGCTGGTCTCAAACTCCTGACCTCAGGTGATCTGCCTGCCTAGGCCTCCTAAAGTGCTGGGATTACAGGCATGAGCCACTGTGCCCAGCTATCTGGGCTTATTTCTTCAGATTTAGGGATATCGTGGGGTCCTTTCTGGCCTCTGCCTCCTCATCTGGAAGCTAAGGGAAAGGAAAGAGGCAGGGTTCTGTATGGTACAACTCCAGGGTACCCTTCAAATGTGCCCCAACTTTAAACTCATTCAATGTATACACTTTCCCCAGAGGAGCAGGAGGGGTCCTAGACTCAGGGTGGCCTGGCAGAGAGAGTATCAGGTGGCCTGCCACTGTTAGAAGGGAACAAGGGGACATAGTGGGTAAGCTGGAGCTCCTGCTGACACCATTACACAGGTTTGAATTCTGACTTGCCACTCACTAGTTGTGAAGCTTGATGCTCAGGGCCCTCTGTAAGCTGCCATGAGGGTGAAATGTGAGAATGACCTGTGAGCAAACAGTAAATACCATCAGGGAAGGAGCAGCCTACAGAGAGAAGTCCTAGGGCTCTGGGCTGCACAGATCCTGCCATTTCCCTTGCAGCACCCCAAATCCTGCAGCCCCTGGGTCCGGAGGTAGTGGGAGCTGTCAAGTTCTACCTCCCTACCAAGACCCAGGTGAAATATTCTTAGTGAGGTGGGACAGGGTCAGTGGTCCTCAGATCACACTCCGCATACTCTGACTTGAATGCAGAGAGAGGAAGGCCTTCCACAGAGAAGATCAAGCAAGTCCCCAGGAGACCTGTGTCCATGACTCCTGGCCCAGGAGCCCAGCTCCCACCCAACAGAAAAGCACAGTGCTGTTTCTTGGCCCAGCCCCCAGGCCCTCAGCACATGACGACTACCTGGGGTCGGGGTAGAAAGGACCCTCTGGGGGTTCCAGAAATCTGCTAGTTCCCAAGGAAGCCCTCAGATTTTCTACACTGCCTGGCAGGAGGGGCTGATACTGAGGGGGTGAGTGGGTTCAGGATGCAGGCTGCTCTCAGATAAGAACCTTGAGGCAGTCCCGTGGGAGGGTTGGGTTTCCTGCCACCTCCCCCAGCCCCACCACACTCTTCCTTCCTCCCAGGCTCTCCCACCAGGCCCAGCCCCACAGCCCAGCCTCACCATCTCCAGGTTTTGGCTGCACTTCAGTTTTAGATCTGATAAGGGCCTAGATCGGAGGCTTGGGCCTCTCGGGATGTGGAGAACCCCTCACTCAAGTCCTCGCTGGACCTAGACAACCCTGGGCCCTGCACCTCCACCAGCTTCTGCACATAACGCCCCCCTTATGCTCCTGTCCTCTCCTCTCCATTTCTGGCCTAGATTCCCAGCTCTGCTGAGGAAGGAAGTCCTTTTCCGGCTTCTGTTACCCAGCTGCTGAGGCCAGGCCCAGGCCTGCAGTGCTGGCCTGGAGGTAGTTCTTCCTCTGCCCCTCCTCCTGGGTTTCCTTACTGATGAAGGTGTGATTTGGGAGAGAGGAAGAGGTTGGATCACTGAGGGGCTCCTAGGCCTTCTCTCTGAAAGGGGGAGTCTGACACATGGGCGCTTGAGCAGGTGGGACTGGCATGCATTTGGGATTTTTCAAGAAGTCATAGAAATTTGTAAGGTTATTCACAAGCAGGCAGGGCCAACAGAGGGAAGGTAGAAAAAGAACTTGGGTGGGGACACTGATCTGGAGGCTTGGTGGGTTTTCCCCAAGTTATTTTGGCCTCAGCACCCTAGTTGGTAGCATTGGAAGAGGGGTGACTCGCTGAGCTCCCACACTGGAGCCTGAGCACCCGCAGACTCCAACATGTCTCTTCCTGGTTGTTCCCTGTGTGGAGGCCCAGAGGATAGGGCTTCAACAACTGCTCCCTGTGATGTCCCTCTGTTTCCCCGCTCTCTCCAACAGTTCCCAGCCCTGGAGTGAACCAGTGATTACCACACGGGTCATAAATACCTAAGAGAGTCAATATTTGTACTGACCAAGGATTAAGTATATGAGGTGGCTTTTATTTAGACAGACCTCTGTTCCTTCTCCTAAGCTCCACCCCATGACATTTTCTAGGAGCCAAAGTAGGGTACAACACAGGTACTACCCCCTTACCTAAACCTTCTTTCTGTATCTCTCTCCCCAAGGCTAAGGTATGCATCTCCCTTCCCAGTGAGTCCCCAGGATGCTAATGGTCTTGTCCCTCTACCCTACCAGCAAGCATGCCTTGGGCAGTCATGAGTACATCCAATACTGCCGCAAGTTTGACATTGACATTCGGCTACAGCTGATGGAGCAGAAGGTTGTGCGCAGTGAGCTGGCTCGGACGGTTCGTGTGAGGGTGGTGGAGGGTTGCCCTGGGCTGGGGAGGTGGAATGGGAATACAATATGGAACACATCAGGTGGGAGGGGGGTAGGAGTGCTGGGCTGAGATAAGGGCGCTGCGCCTCTCTAAATAAGTCACTTCTTACACAGGTGAATGATGACCAGAGCCCTTCTACCTTGAACTACCTCGTCCATCTCCAAGAGAGGCCCGTCAAGCAGACCATCAGCAGGTGAGTGTGGGCGCCATCTTGGATGTGCTCCAAACAGGAACTGTGCAGGGATCCCATCAGATGTGCCTGCTTGCCTTTCTGCCAGGGCTAAGGGATTCTTGCACGTGTTGGGTTGGGGCCCACACGTCTTATCAGGGAAGATCCCAACTCTAGGCATGTTTCATCTCTTCCCTCTGCAACTTTGCCATCATTCTCTCCAGGCTAGAAGTGGCAGAATAAAAAGACTCTCCCTCCTTCAGTCTTCACAAGACATACAGAAAGAGTAGGAACTCCTTTAAATCAGAGTGCGAGCTGAGGAGAGGGAGGGAGAAAATGGGTTTCCCAGGGCACTGGGTCTTTCATGACCTCTCCTATGGTTTTTCCCTGCCCCCAACTCCCAGGCAGGCCCTGAGTCTTCTGTTCGACACTTACCACAATGAGGTGGATGCCTTCCTGCTGGCTGATGTGAGTACGAATCCAGGGGCTGGCCTGGCTGCGTGAAAGCTCCTCCTCTCCCCTTCCCCAGTCCTCCTGGGATCACCCAGCACTATGAGGGATCTGGGTGGAGCCTGAAAATCTGTTGGCAGAGCACTTCTTTTTAACCCCTCGCTCATGGGCAAACTAAGACTCCTAGATGTTGGGCAACGGCAAGCGCATAGCCAGGGATTCTGCTCCTCTATAGAAGAAGCAGGTCGGAAAACTGCACACTAGTCCCATTCTCTGGAGTAGGATGTCTCCAGAGCTAAGGAACCGAGAGCTATCACCCCCCAGCTGCTGCACTTGATGTGCATTGGAGCATGCCTCCTATGAGCAATGTCAGAAATCTCTGGTTTGAGAGGTTCTGTTTTGCTGTTATCACAGGTAGGAAACCATCAGGAGGTAGAAGGTTTCACATGTAGGGAGGGCCAGAGCCCTACCCGCTTGGACTCACGCAGAGTCTCAAGCCTCAAAACCATGAGAATCAACATTTGTCTTAAATGTCACAATGCCAAAGAAAATCTGACAGTGATCTTCAAAAACAATCCCTTGCTGAGTGTGATGGCTCACGCCTGTAAATGTAACCCTTTGGGAAACTGAGGTGGGAGAATTGCTTGAACCCCAAAGTTCAAGGCCAGCCTGGGCAACACAGCAAGACCCCATCTCTACAAAAAATACAAAAGTTAGCCAGGCATGGTGGCACACACCTGTAGCCCCAGCTGCTCTGGAGGCTGAGGTGGGAGGATCGCTTGAGCCCAGGAGTTTGGGGCTGTAGTGAGCTCTGATCACACCATTGCACTCCAGCCTGGGTGACAGAGTGAGACCCTATCTCAAAAAACAAAACAAAAAACCAATCCCTGTCTCAGTGATCCAGTTAATAGTCATAAACGCGTCCTTTTTGAGGGGTTCAGCATTATGTCTAGTCACTGCCAGAATCCCTTCTCTAGGAGTCTGTGCTTGAACATTTCCAGTGATGGTGGGGAAGCTCTGAACACCTGTGCTGTGCTGGTCTGGCCCTTTGCTAGTGGCTACGATGGGTAGAGAAGTGTAAGAATTGTCGTAGCCTTGGCCAGGTGCAGTGGCTCACGCCTGTAATCCCAGCACTTTGGGAGGCTGAGGTGGGCGGATCACCTGAGGTCAGGAGTTCGAGACTAGCCTGGCCAACATGGTGAAGCCCTGTCTCTACTAAAAATACAAAAATTAGCTGGGCGTGATGGCAGGTGCCTATAATCCCAGCTACTTGGGAGGCTGAAGCAAGAAAATCGCTTGAACCAGGGAGGCAGAGGTTGCAGTGAGCCGAGATCGTTCCATTGCATTCTAGCCTGGGTGACAGAGCAAGACTCCGTCTCAAAAAAAAAAAAAAAAAAATTGTCATAGCCTTTGGGGAGCTTGTGTTCTTGTTAGAAAAATTGAATAGTAACACAAAGCTATTAGTAGACAGAACAGGATGGTAATAAATTAATTAAGGGCTCCTGGAGGATGCTAGAGGAAGGGGATTGGCCAGGGAGGGCTTTATGAAGGAGGTAGAATTTTAGCTGCTCTGTGATTTAAATTTATATAGGTAATCAGAGCTGGACAGGTGAGGGAATTCCAAATGAGAAAATCCCAGAAGCTGAAGTGCAGAGGGGAGGGTATGACTGTGGCATATCAGTAGAAGTGAGATGAGATCTGTCTGGAAATTCTACAGGTCTCTGGGAGAGACCCTGTATATATGTGTATAGTATAAGTAGACTACAGAGAGAGGCTAGAAATAGGAGGAGCTTCAAGGGGAACGGCTGAAAGAATTGGGGCATGTGGGCATGGCCCATTGAATTCAGTGGGAGAGATTATTTGCTGATGCTGAATATTTGAAAACAAAATGTATTGCACATTTACCCCTGAGGATCGTGAATCTCTCTACTCTTCCCAACCCTTTCCTTTAAAGACTGGGGTGGGGAGGGGTTGGAGACCAAGAGCACGAGAGCGGAGCCTGCCAGCCTCACTGTGTCACCTCCCACAGGGGGACTTCCCACTGAAGGCTGACAGGGTGGTCCAGTCCGTCAAGGCCATCTGCAACGCCCTGGCCGCCGTGGAAACCCCTGAGATCACCAATGCTCTCAACCAGCTGCCCCCCTGCCCCTCCCGCATGCAGCCTAAAATTCAGAAGGTAAAGGGGCCCAGGGTGCTAGGAGGGGGAAGGGGGAGAGGGATACTGCCAGGTAACTGAGTTGTCTGTTGCTAGGGTGTGTAGGTGTTCACTCACTAAAAAGGGGCTTCTCTCCACCTCCACCTTTTATGTTTAAGGAATTCAACCACAAGAGCTCTTCAAAAATGGATGCCAAGTGTGTCCCCTCTTCCTGAGCTTGAGGGAGAGCTACCTGGGACTGCTTGCTGAGAGCCCAGGCCAGTAAAGGCTTTATTCACAGTCACCAAGGCATTGCCTGACAGTCCGCATATCCATCAGGGCGCAAAAACAAACCAGGAGGAAAATCTCTCTAGAGCCGGGGGCTCCGGGACTCCAGCACGGGCTGTGTGCTCTGCACACAGGGCCAGCACCGCAGACACTGTGATCTGCAGCCGAGTAGCCTGAGGGTTGGGATCTCTCAGAAGGGTGGACACGATGATTGCTATCCTCCGTCAGCTCACTCTGTCCATCACACAGATCTGGTACAAACCATTACTCTATCCTCTCTGGGGATTCTCAGCTCCTCACATTTCAGCCCATTCTGGTCCAGATGAGTGCAGCTGTGAAAAGCCCTTCTTCCAGCTGTGACGAAAAAGGCCATGGCCCTGAAGCTCCCCTCCCTCTTCTTTTTCCCCCCCGAACAGGATCCCAGCATCTTGGCTGTGAGGGAAAACCGAGGTAAGGGAACTGCTCTCCATCTTCATCCAGTCGGGCTGCCGAAAACTGCAGTCTCTGCCCAGATTCCTTTTTCTGCCTGGCCCCCTTGATTTATGTGTCGGAGTTCGGCGTGTGTGTGTGTGTGTGTGTGTGTGTGTGTGTGTGTGTGTGTGTGTCTATATGAGGTGTGGACACAGCTGGAGAGCACATTTCTTTCCACAAAGTGTTTTCTCATTATTTTTCCTAGTCATTCCTCCTGGTGTCCCTGGGAGATGGGGATGAGGGTGTAGAAGTGTGGGAGTGGGGTGGCGGGGCAGCGCTAGCCCTGTGATCCAGATGGGAAGCCTCCTACTTTGGTAGATTGTGATTATTCTCCCATCGGCTCACACTTGCTACCTTTCCAATTTAGAATGGGCCTTGTGAGAGGATGAGAAAGAATTTTCCCTACAATTTTTCTAGGATTCCCCTGTCGTGCCCTTGAAGCTGAACTTTGCCCTAAGACCGACCTATATCCCTGGGATTCCTTTGTTTTGTTTTTGTTTTTTGTTTTGGCATCCCTGGGATTCTTATGGTGATTCCCAGTCTTTTGGATTTCATAGACCAGTAAAATGTCCCCCAAAGTATCTGGGGGACCAAGAGAGAATTGGCAGCCTTTTACTTGGCCAAACTTTTTTGACTTTTGCTTTTTTGAAGCAACTGACTATAATTATTAACATTGTTTCCTAAAAGAAAGGACATTTTAATGCTAAATAGCAATAAGTAAAAATAAGGATTATGTTTAACATTGTATAACTGTGGTTTTATGAAAAGCTCATGACATGCTTCTGCTTTTTTCTCATTTCACCGCAGATGGGTGAACTTTGTCACAGCTATTAGAGACTGACTAGCATTTGGGGACCACTTTGTCTTAGGCCATCCCATTCTAGCCAGTGCCCTGGCAATAAGGTAGGGCTTGAGGAGGCCTCATGACTTTCCTTTCTGACCCCTTCCCTTCCCAGAGAAGGTCGTGGAAGCCCTGACCGCTGCCATCTTGGACCTGGTGGAGCTGTACTGCAACACATTCAATGCAGACTTCCAGACGGCAGTGCCCGGGAGCCGCAAGCATGACCTGGTCCAGGAGGCCTGCCATTTCTCCAGGGCCCTGGCCTTCACTGTCTATGCCACCCACCGCATCCCCATCATCTGGGCTACCAGGTGAGCCCAGGGCTGAGCAGCCACTAGGGAGCAAGCTGAGTTTGACCTCCACCAGGGCTTTTTCCTATCTGCATGTAATACTACTGTCCTAAGTCTTAGGATGTGTGGCATTGTGTGACATTGTGGTGCAATGGGGCTGCAGGGGTGAGCCAAGTGTCTGAGGAAGACCTGGGCTGGGGATATCCCAGAGGAGAGAGGAGGTCCCTTAGGAGATGAAGAAGATGCTGTTATTCCCTCTTGGTGCTGGCTGCCTCTGCATCCCTGCCCCCTCCAGATCCAGGACCAGTGGAAGGAGACATGGCAACAGATGGTGGATTCCCAGATAGAGTGCACGCTCCCTGGCCAGTGGGAGGGGGCAGGGAGGTGGGATTGACCCTTTGTCTGGGGTTCTCTAGGCCTGCAGGGGTGGGTGGAGGAGGATGTTCTTTTGGTAAAATCCTCAGCTCCTCTGTTGGGTCCCCAGCATCCAAGGCCTGAGGGAATAGGCACTGGGCCCTACCCCGCCCCTGCTGGTCCCCTTTCCCCAACCCCCTTCCCCTTCTCTCTTTGTTCCTCACTTAATGTATTCCTCTGGGCGATTGGCAGAGAACAAAGGAGGCAGCCTGGGAAACCGGGGCCTTCTCTGACCTCTTCTGTCAGGCACCTGTCATGAGCCACAGGGACCCCCGTGTGTTGGCATTCACGTCAGCATATGTCGTCTTCCTCCCCCACCCTTCTCACTTGCGCATGCACGTGCACACACACACACGCACGCACACACAGACACTCGATGGGCTGGAGCTTTCTATAAGGAGGCTGGGTGGCCGGTTCCCATTAAAGAAAGAAAAACCACAAGGCTCAGCATGGAGCCTAAAACCGAGCAGAGGAACTCAGATTAAGTTGCTTTGGCCTGAGCACATTTCCTTACATCCAGTTTGGCTGTCCTATCCAGAGATCCCGTGTTATAGCCCTCAGAGACTGGGAATTTTACCAGGGGAAATGGATTTTGGCCTTAGAGGGATGCATAGGTTTGGGTGATTGGTTTTGGGAGCTGGGTGTCCTGACCTGCTCCCTTTCTTTTGTAGCTATGAAGATTTCTACCTCTCCTGTTCCCTCAGCCATGGCGGCAAGGAGCTGTGCAGCCCCCTGCAGACCCGAAGAGCTCACTTCTCCAAGTACCTCTTCCACCTCATCATCTGGGACCAGCAGTAAGCCCTTCCCCCAGGCTCCAGTGCCCAGGTCACTGCAGACCTACTCAGCCTCTGAAATATCCCTGGGGCCAGATAACTACTCCAGGACTAACGATAAAACCAGGCTTCCTTGTTAACCCTAATTGGACAAGTCATTCAACCTCTTGAGTCTCCACTGCCCTCACTTTTTTTTTTTTTTTTTTTTGAGATGGAGTCTTGCTCTGTCGCCCAGGCTGGACTGCACTGGCGTGATCTCAGCTCACTGCAAGCTCTGCCTCCCAGGTTCACGCCATTCTCCTGCCTCAGCCTCCCAAGTAGCTGGGACTACAGGCGCCCGCCACCACGCCCTGCTAATTTTTTGTGCTTTTAGCAGAGGTGGGGTTTCACCGTGTTAGCCAGGATGGTCTTGATCTCCTGATCTTGTGATCCGCCCGCCTCGGCCTCCCAGAGTGCTGGGATTACAGGCGTGAGCCGCTGTGCCCGGCCTCCACTTCCCTGACTCTGAAATGGGGCCAAGTATAATTACCACCTCTCAAGTTGTCATGAGGATCCAATGAGAAGTATCTATAAAGGCTCTTTGTAAACCATAAAAAACTTATAAATGTTAGTTGTTAATTTTAATAATACTTCATTTTTTGATCTTGTCTCCCTTAAAGAGTTTAACTAGTTGGAGGGCTTCTCATCCTCTCCCACTTCCCTCAGTTCCTGTAGACTCTGGAGAGGAGACTGTGCTCTTCCCTTTATATAGAGAGAAGGGAGGGTTGTCTAGAGAAGGAGTATTGAGCTTGGATTCCCAGGAGTGAGCCTCTATTTCTAACTCTGTCTTGAGTACTACTTTCTATGCTTTCTGTGCCTCATTTTCTCAAACTGAGAAATGGGGACATTTGTTTCACTCAGAAGCAGTTATGGCATCCAGATGAGATAGGTGGGTTATAAATATAAATATGAAACCAAAAGCACACGGTAGTATTAATCACCACGTGTAAACAATAATTTGGTGTCGGGAAGGTAGGCGTCAGCCAAGCAAAGCAGGAAGGAAACGGAGGAGAGGGTGCCTTGCTTGAATGGGGGCACCGCAGGGGTTTTCCTGCCCTGTGCGTCGTCTGTGCTGTGCTCTACCTTCCTTCCAGTCAGTCAGAAAATCCCCTGCTTGCTGCCCCCAGCTTTGCTTCCCCACACGAGTCCTCATTTGCAGAGCAGCACGGCAACCTAAGTATTTGGAGCACAGATTAAAGAGACTGAGGAGGGTCCTGGGGAGGCCGAGGATGTAAAATAGGTAGATGAAAAATCTGGAGATGCTGGAAGGGGTGGGTCATTTTACTGATGGACAACTGGGAAAATGGACCCTTTCTCATGCCCTTCACACTTAGGTAATTCTTAGAGCAATAAAGGTGTATATGGCTGGGCATCATGGCTCACACCTGTAGTCACTGTACTTAGAGAGGCCAAGCCAGGACGATCGCTTGAGCCCAGGAATTTGAGACCAGCCTGGGCAACACAAAGAGGCCTTATCTCTACTAAAAAATTATTTTAAAGGAGCCGAGTGTGGTGGCATGCATCTGTAGTCCTAGCTACTTAGGAGGCTGAGGTGGGAGAGTCACTTGAGCCTGGGAGGTCGAGGCTGCAGTGAGCCATGATCACACCACTGCACTCACTCTAGGCTGGGCAACAGAGTGAGACCCTATCTTAAAAAAAAAAAAAAAAAAAAAAAAAGCAGGGGATGTGCATAAAAGATCCTTAAGCAAACAACTGCCAGGACAGGAGAAACTCCTTGCAGGCAGAGGATAGCTGCATTAACTGGCCCTTGAGTTCCACCATTCCTTTGGGATTTTTTGGTCACAATTACTGCTGCTGTCAAGAGAAGGGGTGCCAGCCTGGGCAACAAGGGAGATCCAATCTCTACAAAAAGTACAAACAATTAGCCGAGTGTGGTGGCATACACCCGTGGTCCCAGCTACTTAGGAGGCTGAGGTGGGAGAATCACTTGAGCCTGGGAGGTGAAGGCTGCAGTGAGCATCCAGCCTGGGCAACAGAGCAAGGGGGGGGGTGCTGTAGTCGTCTGGCCCAGGAGGACTTTAAAAAATTGGCCTTAAATCCTTTTCTCCTACAGTATCAGAGGTATAGAGGCAGCCCAGCCTGTGCCATGAGTTTCATTTTGTCCCCTGAGATTCCTACTTTGAATTTTAATGGGCCAGTCCCCTGCCTAGAGCCTTGTGAAGGGCATTATCTTGCACTGTCCATCCAGATGCCCCGAATGAGACTTCTTGGCCCTTCATGGTCAAGACCAAGACATTTGGGGGAAGGCGTGCCAGCGTTCAGAGGACAGGCTTTGGGCCAGTCATTCTCTCCTTCCTATTGTAGTTGCAGCCTCAGGCAGGTCTTTCAAACTAGAATGGTGGTGATAACAGGGCCTACCCTACAGGATTGTCTGAGGAGCAGTTAGGACGCTGTAAATAAAGTACTTGGCACAGGCTTCTTAGCTGGGGAGCCCTCTTGGTTTTGGTTTCTCCGTTCCAGGTGACTGACAAACTGGCTGATACATGGGGATATGTGCGCATGAAAATACTCTCTGTATAACTCAGTGCCAGTGCAGTAACCACAGCGTCACATAGCAAAAAGTACACAGTGTGCACACACATCATGCAAGTGAAGCTATGTTCCCCTTCTCCCTGATGAGAAACTGAGGCACGGAGATGGGAGTTAAGTTGCCCAGGATTGTGTGGCAGAACCAGGACTGGAGCCAACCAGCACATTCCAGGAATCCTTCCTGGAGGAGGCAGCCTGTGTGATATGATGTTGTTGAATGGGCTGCAGGAAGGAGAGGGGTTTCTAAGGGAGGAAGGTAAGGGCCGCAGCCAACATAATGGTTATCCTGACCAGCCCTGGGTGAAGGTCTGTGGGAAAGGTTTTGGAATACCAGATATACCCAAGGATTGAAGGGAAAGAGGGCCTTGGCTGGCTCTGGTTTCACTCATAAAATCTTCTCACTCCCCTTTTCCTTAAGACATGAAGCTGGAAGCTTCTTCCTTAGGCGAAAAGAGAGGGCTCAGGACCAGCTCCCTCTCCCCTTTGCTATGGGGTCAGGTGATTCTCTGCCCCACTGTAGCAGTCCAGGGATCAGCTAACTCTCAAAATAGGCTCAGCAGCCGTGCTTTGTCACCTCCAGCCAAGCCCTGGCCTGGCATGTCTGCTGGCCGCTGGAGGGGCCCTAATTATAGCTGTGGGCCCCCAGGGTAGAGGCAGCTGGGATAGAGCAGGGCTCTGCCAGTCTGTGGTGGGCTGGAGGGAGTGCCTCACTTAGGTGGAGATTCCCCTGGAGGACAGCGGTGAGGCAGGCTGCTTTATCATGAAACTGCTAACCTTGGGGGTGGCTGCCCTGCCTCTGTGCCCTCTGGCATAGAAGTTGCTGGGCCCTGGGCTGGCCAGGAGGGTGTGACAGTATGGACTTTGGCCCAGGGACAGCTTCCCGGAAAGGTAACATGGGTCCTCCCTGCTTTTCCACAGCTCCCCTCCCCTGTGTACTTCACCCCACCTAGCAGTTCCTTATCCTGAGCATAGAGGGAGTGGCTAGGTGTGGTTCAGACTGAGGACCTGGAGAGAACTTACGGGCTTGAGCAGTGGTGGGCGTATGTGTCTCAGTTCTCTTGGTCCTGCCATTGGCTTTCTCACCTGGGGGACTTGGAGAAGCCCCTCCTCTTTGTCCCTTTGGCTTTGAATCTGTTTGGGGGTGGGGGTGAGAAAAACCCATCGTGTGTCCCTGGGGCTAGGTGTAGGGGACTTGTATGAGGACAAGTGACAGGGCTGTGGGGGAGGGTGAACCGAGGGCAGAGAACATGGTGCTGCTTCTTGGTGGCTCTCAGCAGCGAGAAGTGGGGGAGGGATGGGGGCTGTCAAATGGAAAAGGAGGACAAAAGGAGTAGCTTTGTGGACCCTCTGAAGAAATTCTAAAACAAGGAAAGGAGCAAGGCTGACAACATGGGATGTGTCATCACTTGAACTCCGAGGTGGCTCTGCTAAGCAAGTTCTGTCCAGGCACCATGGGTAGCCTCAACATCAGGGGATGTTTGCCTCACTCTACTGCAAAGCTCCAAGGACACCACATTGTGCTTCTGGGAACATCCAGTGGGGGTTTCGCCTAGTTTGGGGCCTCTCCTGGTTCTGTAGGAGGAGGGCTTCCTCAGGGAGTGTGTCTGAACCCTGAGAGGGAGGCTATATCCTCAGCCTCAGCCTGACTTCCTGGACCACCTGTTGCTTGAAGCCACAGGAGTGGCCCCTCCTAATTTGATTTCCTGTCCTCCATAGGATCTGCTTCCCAGTGCAGGTGAACCGGCTGCCTCGGGAGACCCTGCTGTGTGCCACTCTCTATGCTCTGCCCATCCCCCCACCGGGGAGCTCCTCAGAGGCCAACAAGCAGCGGCGGGTGCCTGAAGCCCTGGGCTGGGTCACTACCCCACTCTTCAACTTCAGGCAGTATGTGAGCCCCAGGGTACAGCTTCTTGGCCTTAGGAGGGGAAGAGGGGGACAGAGAAAGGGGCCTGGCTGCTGCGCTGGCCAGTGTGCCTTGGGAGAGTTGGCCATGTGGGGCTCACTGGTGAAATCCAGAGGATCCCCAAGCACAGAACTGGTGACCAGGAGTATTGATGTAACCAAGAGCCTCTGAGTGGTTCTGGTGGCACAGGACCATGTTGAGGATTCATGGAAAAGCAATGCTTGGGTAATAGATCATCTGGTCTTGTCATTGGAAGAACCTTAGAGGTCATCTAGCCCAGCCTCCCCACCTCACCAAGGCATCCCTGCCACCAAGTCATCCAGACCAGGGTGTGGTTAGCTCACAAGTCCTCTTGGAGGGTGTGAGCTTTTATAGGACTTGGGAGAAGGAGGAGGCTATGGTCTACGGGGAGACTGAGAGAGGGGAGTTGGATGGTGGCTTCAAACAGAAAAGGCAGATTTTTGGATTGGGGGAGCAGGAGACATACTCTCTGCCTAGCCATTTTAGCAGCTCTTCCCACTCTCCTTCCTTCTTAGGGTCCTGACCTGTGGCCGGAAGCTTCTGGGTTTATGGCCAGCAACACAGGAAAATCCCAGTGCCCGTTGGAGTGCACCTAATTTCCACCAGCCAGACAGTGTCATCCTGCAGGTGAGGCTTTAGCCCTTCCCTCCCACTCACCAGCAAGACCATTCCAGTCAACTCTACATTTTTCCCCTTGAGATTTGGGCTGGGACAACAGGAGAGAGTGCTAGAACTTCAAGCATGGGAGGATGATGTGACTGAAGCAACTGAGTGAATATGGTTAGATGTGGAGTGTGAGGTGAGCTCTGGGGTATCCATCTCCCATCTCCTGGAGGTTAAATTGATTTCGTGGAGCCTGAAGATGGGGTCTGAGACCCTCTGCATTCAGGGCTCAGCTTCTGAGTCCCTTGTATTGAATCCTCATACTTCTAAGTCTGATCAAACCTGACCTGTGCCCTCTTGGAGCCTGAGGGGACACCTTTCCCCCTTCCGGTGACTCAGTGCTTTGGCAGGATGGACCTATTCTCCAGGGAGAAGAGGAGGAGCTGGTCACGCCCAAGGTCTAGTTCCTAGTTCCCAGCTTCCCTTTCTTGTGGTTATGAGATACCTTGTGTGAATGTTGACATAGAATGAAAGCTCCCCGAGGCAGGTTTTTTTTTTTTTTTTGAGACAGGATCTCTGTCACCCAGGCTGGAATGTAAAGGCATAATCTTGGCTCACTGCAACCTCTGCCTCCCACGCACAAACCATCCCCCCAACCTCAGCCTCCCAAGTAGATGGGACTACAGTTGCATACCACCACGCCCAGCTAATTTTTGTCTGTCTTATTTACTACTGTATGCCCAGAGCCTAGAAAATGCCTGGCACATGTTAGGATTCAATAGATATTTGTTGAACAAGGCTGTGTGTGGTGGCTCATACCTGTAATCCCAGCACTTTGGGAGGCCGAGGCGGGGGGGATCACCTGAGGTCAGGAGTTCGAGACCAGACTGGCCAACATGGTGATACCCTGTCTCTACTAGAAATACAAAAATTAGCTGGGCGTGGTGGTGCGTGCCTGTAATACCAGGTACTCAGGAAGCTGAGGCATGAGAATCGCTTGAACCCAGGTAGAGGTTTCAGTGAGTCAAGACTGCGCCCCTGCCCCCCACCCTGGGGGACAGTGGGACCCCCTCCCCAAAAAAAAAAAAAAAAGATATTTGTTGAATGAAAGAAAGTAGAGCTCTTTTGGAGACTTGGCTCACTCAGCTCTGATACTTTAGTAGGATGAACATCTGGTGGCATAGAGTAGGGACCAAGTGTCCCAGGGCCTTCTCCCAGTGTGTGGTTCCGCCTCCCCTCTGGCAGCAGTGGCCTCTGGCACCCCATGGAAGGCTCCCCGGACTCAGCCTGGATGCACCCCATGGTTCAGCTGGGTGACACTTCTGTTCAGAGTTTTGCCTGGGGCTTGTCCCCACACCCCTCACCAAGGTGCATCTCCACCGAACCTCTTCCTCACGTGTCCATTCTTTTTCTCTTTTTGTTTCCCTTTCATTTTTTCTGAGAGTTATAGCTGGAAAGGACTTCAGAGATCACTGAGTCTAATTGGGTTATTTTACAAAGAACCTGAGGGAAAGTGAGGGAGGGACAAGGCCGGAATGCTGGGGTGAGAGAAAGAAGCTGGGAGTCCACACGCTGCCTGTTCTCTCTCCTCACGTCCTTGATCCCATCCCCCAGATTGACTTCCCCACCTCGGCCTTTGACATCAAGTTCACCAGCCCCCCTGGAGACAAGTTCAGCCCCCGCTATGAGTTTGGCAGCCTCCGGGAAGAAGACCAGCGCAAGCTTAAAGACATCATGCAGAAAGAGTCCCTCTACTGGTGAGGCCCGGGCCCCCACTGAATCTGCCATGTTTCATCTGACCTCCCAGCATTGAGTCTCTGTCCTGCTTTGGGAGTGGAGGTGGGAAGGGGAGGCAGCCCCCAGGCTTCTCTCCATCAGCTGACACTAGGAAAAGTAGAGAGGTCAAGGTCAGGAAATTAGATCTGAGAGTACCCAAGTCCCCACCCCAGGGACTTGGTCCATACTAAGCTACCCAGGAGGACCAGAGCTCTGCCCCACGTCCCAGATGTGCTGCCTACTACCTTCTGTCCACTGAGGCAGCTGGCCCCACCACCCTGCCCCCACCTCCTGCCCTCACCTCCTGCCCCTTCCACACCAACAGCCTTTGAATTTTTCTGGCCCTGTCACTTTCCAAAAAGGATCAGGTGTCAAGGCAAGCTGGCAGCTCTTAAGGGTAAGCGAGTCCAGGCTGATCTCATCCTTGGGGCTGCTGCTTTCACAGGATTGGAGAAGGAGGGGTGAGAACAGAACTGGAGGAGCTGGAGGGACCCGGTTCCCCTGCCTGCTCTCTGTTTACTTCTCTGGCTCCTGCACAGCCCTGTGCGTGTGTTGTGTGTGTGGGGACATGAGAGAGACGGGGCTCATCTCTGTCCCTTATGTCCACCCTGAGTAGCTGGAGTAGCTGAGTGACCGCAGACCTCCCTTCCCCCATTCTGCCCACTACACTTCATTAGCCCCTCAGCTCCCTTCTCCCATTAGACACCTGATCTCAGGCAAGGCCCAATTAGCTGCAGGTCCTTGAAAGCCGACAGCTGGTCCCTGGAGGCCCCAGGAGGCCCCTCAGCAGCCCAGACCCTGGTGTTGGGGGACCACTGCCCTCTGGTGGTTCTACTTGAGAGTGGTACCCTCAGGGCATCCGCAGGAGGGGTAGCAGATTCGGGTGCCCTTGGCCCATGCATTCTGCCTCCAACCAAGATGTCGGTGAGTTGGGATCAAAGATAGGATTTGGGCCCTGGTTCCCGAACTTTGCTTCATATTGGAATCACCTGGTGATCTTTGGCATATACCGATGCCTGGCTTCCCCAGCCATTCGGACATAACTGGTATCAGGTGTGACCCAGGCATGGCAAGGGGGTTCACCAAGCCCCTCAAGTGGCTATCATATGCAGCAAAGCTTGGGAACCACTGAATTGCAGTGTAAGTACTGCGCCCCTTGAGGGTAAGTACTGCGCCCCTTGGCTGACGCTCTTCTCTCCCACTGCCCCCTACCCTCCCACCACCTTCTCCTTTCCCCATGCCCACCAGGCTCACTGATGCTGACAAGAAGCGCCTGTGGGAGAAGCGATATTACTGCCACTCGGAGGTGAGCTCGCTCCCCCTGGTGCTCGCCAGCGCCCCCAGCTGGGAGTGGGCTTGCCTGCCTGACATCTATGCTCTCCTGAAGCAGTGGACCCACATGAACCACCAGGATGCCCTGGGGCTCCTGCATGCCACGTGAGTTGTAACATCCGCCTTTTCTGACCATGTGTCCTTGTAGAAGCCAGAGCACGGCACTGCCCATCACTGATCTGAGCCAGCCCTGGGGAAAATGGTAAAGTGGGTGTGGATATTCAGGGATTTTCCATTTCTCCTTTTTGCTTTTCCTTTCTCATTTTCCCCCCCCAATGTTATATTATGGTCATTTTTCAAACATACAACAAAATTGAAAATTATACAGTGAATGCCCGTGTGCCCACCACCTAGATTCTGTCGTTAGCATTTGCTCCATGGGCTGGATTGCATACATTTCATTTATCCATCCCTGTATCCATCCATCTATCCATCTTATTTTTTATGCTTTTTTTTTTTTTTTTTTTTTTGAGACAGGGTCTTGCTCTGTCACCCAGGCTGGAGTACAGTGGCATGAATATGGCTCACTGCAGCCTCGACCTCCTGGGCTCAAGCACTCCTCCTGCCTCAGCCTCCCAAGTAGCTGGAACAACAAGTGCACACCACCACACCTGACTAATTTTTAAAATTTTTTTGTAGAGATAAAGTCTTACTATGTTGCCTGGGCTGGTTTCAAACTCTTGGGTTCAAGTAATGCTCCCTCCTTGGCCTTCCAAAATGCTGAGATTATAGGTGTGAGCTACCATGCCCAGCCTTTTTATACATTTTGAAGTAAATTACAGACACCATTAAACTCCCTGCTTTGGCATGCACATCATTACCTAGAGCTCAATGTTTGTTCTGTGTTGTTTTTCTTTTGAGGCAACATTTACACATAAGCAAATACCCAGAGTTTACCTGTACACTGGCTGAGTTTTGACAAATGCATACACCTGTGTAACTGAAATCCTTATTACTTAGTTTTATTTTAACCATTGTCTCTCCCCTCTTGCTCTTGAAGGGTTCTCTGGGGACCCAAGGCTTCCAGTCTCAGATCCGTTAGGGCTGCCTTTTCTAGGTGGTACCCAGGATTTCCTGCTTATTTCTCACCACTCTCAGTAATCAAAATGTACCTATTCACGTGACCTGCCTTAAGGAGTTTTTGAGCCAATGGTTTTGTTAATCTCTGCTAAACTAATTCTGCCAATGTTTATTGGCTTATATAAAATTCTGTGATTTTCTGTTATGTGCCTGGTACATTTTGCATTAAAGGATGTTACCAAGACAAAATAATGCTTTTACCCACATCAGGGCCCTCCAGTGGTGGGAATTTCTGACACAGTGGGAGTCAAGGGAGAACTCTTTGGGAGTAGGGTTGAGGACTTTGTCGCGTTTTCTTTAAATCATCCAAGGAGTGAGAGTGGCTACCCAATTGCTCCCCCATGGCTCAAAGTAGACTCTGACCATGAAGAAGGCTCATTCCCAAGGGTCGCTATCCAGGGAAGGTGCTAAGGATTCTTCTAGTGACTTTGGCAGAACTAGGGCCATTGCATTTTCTTTCTCCACGCCTCTGAAGCCCAGGTGTGAGGGTGCTTGGCTCACAGCTGTTCCTCAACCTGCAGCTAGGTTGTCAGGGCACTGGGCTCTGTTTTGCAGCTTCCCAGACCAGGAGGTGCGTCGTATGGCCGTGCAGTGGATTGGCTCACTCTCGGATGCCGAGCTGCTGGACTACCTGCCCCAGCTGGTACAGGTGGGTGGATTGGTTCTCCCTCCAGTTTTGCCAGTCTCATCCCCAATATCCCAAGTGAGTCTGCCCCTTAGAAACCAGAGATCCCAGTGCAATGATAATAGGTGTAGGTTACAGGCAGTTTATGAAGCTTCATATTTTCTTTCTCCCTTTCTCCGAAACAGGCCCTGAAGTATGAATGCTACCTGGACAGCCCGTTGGTGCGCTTCCTCCTGAAACGAGCTGTGTCTGACTTGAGAGTGACTCACTACTTCTTCTGGTAAAACTGCATGTAGAAAAGTGGGAGGTAGACACGTGTCTTTCACATAGGAGTATTTCACTTTTAGGCACGCAAGGGCAAGGAGCTGAGTTGTCCAAGCTCCAGTGTGTTGCTGACTTACCCTGTGGCCTTGGCCCAGCATCTTTTCCTCAGGGGTCTCAGCTCACCCCCATGTAACATAGTGAGGATTATGTTATCCTGTCTCTCCTCTATCCACACATGGCAGAAATAGGAAGGGGAAACAAGATGCAGAGGGGCTGTGAACTCTACTTAAAGACAGAGTGAGGGCACAGACTGGGGTATGGGCACAGGTGAACATCTCCATATAAGCCGTCCATACCGAGTGTATTTTCCCTCCCAAGTTCAGGGGGGTTTTGCAGTGAGTTGGAGCTGGACTTGACTCTGTCTCCCCCTGCACCCTTGCCTTTAACCCCTGGAGTGCTCTGACTCCCGACTCCCTCTGCCTTGCAGGTTGCTGAAGGATGGCCTCAAGGACTCTCAGTTCAGCATCCGCTACCAGTATCTGCTGGCAGCCTTACTGTGCTGCTGTGGCAAGGGGCTGAGAGAGGAGTTTAACCGCCAGTGCTGGCTTGTCAATGCCCTGGCCAAACTGGCCCAGCAGGTCCGGGAGGCAGCCCCATCTGCAAGGCAGGTTAGTGGGGTGAGGCTGCCTCTACCCATTTCTCATCCAGGGCTTTGGCAGCCAGTGTCTTCTTAGGAATCCTGAACAACAAGATTCCATGTGATGATTTTTCATTTCGGAGCTGGGAGCAGATGACTCTGGAACCTGTAGGCTGTAAACAGGCAGTCCACAAGCTGGATACAGCCTGTGGATGTGTTTTGTTTGTCCTGTAAAATATTGAAATTTATTTAGCTGTTTGTTTTAAAGGCTAAGCACAGTTGTGTAAGTTGTTCATTGCACAAGAGCACTCAGCCAGAAGGGGCAAGTGAGGGCTGAAATCCAGCCATATTTTGTTCACCATGCTGTGACCCATGGCTCAGGCCGGATGCCACCCAGAGAGGACACCTTTATCTGTTTGTATGAAGGCATTATAACCAGTGAGCGGTGTTCCTGGTTAACGACATTTAAAAATTGAGAGATTTTGTATCAACGTCCAGATTGTGAGCTTTTCTTGGCAAAAGCCTGAGCAGCTCTTCCCCCTTGAGAGACAGCCCGCCCTCTCTGTGCACTGTGGCCTGCTTCATGCTGTTCTGCCATCTGCTGCCCTCTAGAGCTCTCTAGTATTGCTGTCAGCGCACTGTCCCAGGCTGGGGTCTAGGGGGTCCTCCTCCTTAAGGATCTTCTGGAGGGTGTCCACACTTCTCAGGGGGCTGGTTTTCATACCAACTACTACTGACAATCCACCCCTGGGAGAGGTCTGGTTCTCAGTATGGACCCTTCATTTCACTTCTGCTGTACTCCTCCCCTTCTTTCCAGGGAATACTCCGCACAGGCCTGGAGGAGGTGAAGCAGTTCTTTACCCTCAATGGCTCGTGCCGCCTGCCACTCAGCCCCAGTCTGCTGGTTAAGGGAATCGTGCCCAGGGTGAGTGACTGGTAGGTTTGGGGCTCTCAGAGTGGGAGGGCTCAGTGGAGGTGAGGTCCTCACTAACCAGGCACGCAAGGGCGAGGAGAGCTGAGTTGTCTCGGCTTCAGTATGTTGCTGACTTACCATGTGGTCTTGGCCCAGCACCTTTTCCTCAGGGGTCTCAGCTCACCCCCATGTAACATGGTGAGGATTATGTTATCCTGTCTCTCCTCTACCCACACATGGCAGAAATAGAAAGGAGAAACAAGATGCAGAGGGGCTGTGAACTCTGTTTAAAGACAGAGTGAGGGCACAGACTGGGGTATGGGCGCAGGTGAGCATCTCCATCTAAGCTGTAAAATAAGAGAGAGATTAGGAAGAAAGGCCTCTTTGTGCCGCTTCCCATTCCTCATGTGTATGGACTTTTAGAAGGCTGACAGCTCGCAGGGTGGAGGGATTGGGTTGGAGGCTGGGCAGCTGGGCAGGTGTCTTTCTCTGATGATGTTGGGGATGAAGTCAGGGCTGGTGGTGGTGATAGCTGTCATCTGTCATTTATTGAGCACTCTCTGTGCCCGGCCCTGTTCTGAGTGCTTAACGTTGGTTATGGCATTTCATCCTCACAACTCTTAGGACATGGGTACTATTGGGAGTCCCCTTTTACGGAGGAGTAAACTGAGGTATAGGTGGGACATGTGACTTACCAGAGGTCACACAACTAGTAAGCTGTGTGCAGAATGAACTAACAGGCTGAGAGGTCAAGTGCTGGAACTGAGGTCATAACAAACTGAATTGGGATGATGACTATAACGAGAGAAGGAAGGAAGTTGGGTTCCTGAGAAATCCGGAAGAAACAGTGAGCAGGTCTTGGGTGGACCGGCAGCAGGAGGGAGGCGGCATCTTGGTCTGAAGTGGAGAGGTCGTTATCCTTTCCTGGCACAGGCTACTCTGACCCTCGTCACTATCCTTTTCACCATGGCAGGACTGTTCCTACTTCAACTCCAATGCTGTCCCCCTCAAACTTTCCTTCCAAAATGTGGATCCCCTGGGTGAGAACATCCGTGTCATCTTCAAGGTGAGAATACTTTACTCAAGCCTGGTGGACCAGGGTGGGAGAGAGAAGGAGGCAGCCTAGAGTGGCATTAAGTAGCTCCTGGGTGGTTCTCTTCCCACTGTTCCATGCTGTCTTAATGTAGAAAAGACGATCAAGTGAAAAAGGATTTAGACGAATTCTGCATGGCCCCAGAGGGCTAAGAACAGAGTGTTAGGTATAGGGAGGCAACTCACAGCTCAATATCCCGAGTGCTTTCTAGGAGGCAGAGCTCCCTCAACAATGGGTTGGGTAAGATGGTGATCCACTTGTCCCTCGGGTATTCAGGCAGAGGCTGAATGTCACATGGCAGGGCTGCTGAAGAGGAAATTAATATATCAGGTGCAGGTCCAACTAGATGAACCCTGAGGTCCCTTCTAACTCTGATGTATCCACAATTCTGAGAAGTAAATGATAGTCTCAGAGCATATAATCTAACGGGGGAGACAAAATACATGCATGTGACTTAGTAACTTATATATTTGCTGTGTGCAAGTTCCAAATCCAAAGTGTAAACATTCAAGTTTAAAAAAAGGCCTGATGGCCTGGGCGTGGCACCTCATGCCTATAATCCCAGCACTTGGGGAGGCTGAGGCATGCAGATCACTTGAGGTGAGGAGTTTGAGACCAGCCTGGCCAAGATGGTGAGACCTCATCTCTACTAAAAATACAAAACAAAATTAGCTGGGCGTGGTGGCAGGCACCTGTAATTCCAGCTACTTGGGAGGCTGAGGTGGGAGAATCACTTGAATCCGGGAGACAGAGGTTGCAGTGAGCCAAGATTGTGCCACTGCACTCCAGGCTGGGTGACAGAGTGAGACAACATTATCTCAAAAAAAAAAAAAAAAAAAAGCCTGATGGTCAGAGGGGCTACATGCAGAAGTGGACCGTGAATTTAATTCAGATGGGGCCATGGGATTGAGGGACAAGCTGGAACAACACATGGGCAAACTGGGAAGGTTCCTGGGCCATCTTTGACCTGGTCTGAGCTGAGTGAGCAGGTCAGGGATATGAGGACGGGGAACTCCCTGTCACTGTTAGTTTAGGTTCAAGGTTCAGCACTTAGGAGACCTGAGAGCTGGGGAGGCAGTGGAGACGGGATCTGGTCACTTTCTCCCTCCATCCAGTGTGGGGACGACCTTCGCCAGGACATGCTGACGCTGCAGATGATTCGCATCATGAGCAAGATCTGGGTCCAGGAGGGGCTGGACATGCGCATGGTCATCTTCCGCTGCTTCTCCACTGGCCGGGGCAGAGGTCAGTTGGGAGTGGGAGTGAGGGTGGTGGACGGGACCCCTTTGCTTATTGTCCTTCCGCCCATTGCCAACACAAACTGTGTCCTCCTCCAGGAAAGTGAAAAGGGCAAGATTATTTCATGAGAAGCTGTGGGATAGCCTTAAAAGGGAGGCATGGGAGAGAGACTGTTATAAAGTGAAACAGACTTGGCGCTGTAACAGCCAAGCATGTTGTGTAGACTTTGGATCCTGATTAAAACAAACCAATTGTAAGGAAATAGTTTTTGGGGCAGGCATGGTAGCTCATGCCTGTAATCCCAGCACTTTGGGAAGCTGAGATGGGAGAATTGCTTGAGCTCAGGAATGTTTGAGACCAACCTAGACACAGAGCGAAACCTCATCTCTAATAAAAATGATAAAAAATTAGCCGGGTCCAATGGCATGTGCCTGCAGTCCCAACTCTTCGGGAGGCTGAGGCAGATGGATCGCTTGAGTCCAGGAGTTCGAAGCTGTAGTAAGCCATGATGGTGCCACTGTACTTCAGACTGGGTGACAGAGTGAGACCCTATGTGAAAAAAAAAAATGTGGAGATATATATATATAGAGAGAGAGAGAGAGAGAGAGAGAGAGAGACAGAGAGAGACAGAGACAATGGGGGAAATTTGAATATAGATTGAGTTAGATTAAAGAGTGATTGTTAATTTTTTGGATGTGACAATGGCATGGTGTCTTTGTTAATTACATTTGAAATATTTATGAGTGAAATAAAGTATCTGGGATTTGCTTTAAAATACTCCAACCAAGGTGGCAGGGAGTGGAGAAATAGGGTTGTGTGATTAGCAAACAAGATTAGCAAAATATTGACAATTTTTGAAGCTGGGTGATTGTTACATGTATTTTTAAATTCCTGTAGTAAAAGCTAAAAACAAAGGGAGCAGCAGCTATGAACTGGAGAGACCAAAAAGTCACAGTATGGAATAGGAAATGTGGGAATGACCTTCCTTTCTATGGTTATTCTTTTCCTGTTATTATCAGACTTAGTCCAAATGCCTTACACCTTAATTTATAGAGGAGCAGGAGCACCGTCCTTGTAGTCCTCTCCCTGCAGTCCCCTTCATTCTGGTCTGGAACGTGACCCCCATTTCTCCCCTCACAGGGATGGTGGAGATGATCCCTAATGCCGAGACCCTGCGTAAGATCCAGGTGGAGCATGGGGTGACCGGCTCGTTCAAGGACCGGCCCCTGGCAGACTGGCTGCAGAAACACAACCCTGGGGAGGACGAGTATGAGAAGGTAGGGTTGGGGGTGGGGAGTGCATCTGGGGTGCGTGTGCCTGATGCCAGCACACAACTCTTTAACCACAAGACCCGCACTTGCTCAGAGAAGAGAGCTCAGCTTTGTTGGCAGAAGGACCTACCCTTTCTTCGTTGACTGGTGCCTCCAAATAGCTAGGGGTGACTCACTCAAATGCCTCTTGTAAGCTGGCTGAGAAAATCCCCTGATACTGGACTGAGAAACTTTCATTGAGTTCCCCTGGCAGATTAAGCCTTGGAGGAGGCGCCAGCTTTTGAGAACCTACCTGTATCCCTCCCAGTTGTGGATCTTGTTCAACTTCCCTTGTGTTCTTAGAGGGTTCAGTGGTACTTTCTAGAATAAGAGTTGGTTGGAAGAGACTTTAGAGATCCCTTTATTCCAGCCCCTTCTTTTCATAGCTGTGAATTAAGACTCACTCACTCACTCCTAGTTATGGAGCTGATGTGTGGCAAGGCTGTAACTCAAAGCTAGGATTGAGGTTAGATATGAGACAGACGAGTGAAAAGAGGGCTGGCTGGTTCGTGATGAACGAAGATTAGATTAGAAGTGGAGCTTTCCTGGGTGGTAGGGCCTTGGTAGCCTGCTAGGGTCCATGGGCTGTTCCCAGCCTCACAACTCTAGTCTCTCGGTTAATTAGGTTGAGGGAAGTAGGGACACTGGGAAGGAACAAATCACAATAACCAAACTCACAAGAGACTGGCTATATGCCAGAATGCTAATTCATATAATTTTAACTTCAAGGGACCCAAATACTAATTTATATTGATCAATGTACTTTATCCTGGAGGGAAAACCAGCATGGGCAGCCAAGGTATAATCAGAACATTGTTCAGTGAATGTGTAATTAGATGATCTTAAATGGCTTTCAGTGTTTGTGTTCTCCAGGGCTTAATTCCTGGTCAGCTGGGCCCTCTTCGCACTCTTCTTGTGCCAGCTCATTGTCTTATGACTTCAACTACCACCTAAATGTTGATGGCCACTGAAGCCATTCCTCTAGCCCTCTTCCCTTCCTCCAGGTGGCTCTATAGCCACCTTCTTGCTGGACTTTTCCACTTATGTTTCACCCACGTCTCAAACTCAGTGTAGGCAAAACAGCCCGCTGTCTCTCCTTTGCCTCTTGAAACCTGCTTTTTGTGTTTGCTGTTAGTCAATTGTGCGACTCTCTCTGTGCGTTTACCCAGGCAAAGCCACGGTCTTTCTGATGCTTCCCTCTATCTCACTTCTGTACCAGGCTCTGTTTATTCTTCTTCCCATCGATCTCTCAAACCTGTCCTCTTCTTTCTATTTTGTTACCATTGATTTTGTTCAGCTCTTTGCTGTCGGTCCCCTGAACCACTGGAATGCCTCTCCTCCATCTAGAGCCAGCCTCTGCTTGATTTCAGAGGTTTTTTTTTTTTAATGCAGATAAGTTCTTCAAAGCCTCCCTGTGTCCTAACAGATAAGTCCAACATCCATAGCATTGCACACAGAGCCTTTTACAATCCAGCCCTGCTGACTCCTGTAATCCCATCCACTGCAACCTACCACCTTATGCTAACCTATGCTCCAACTAGGTTACTAGCTGGATCATAGGCGAGGGTTACTACTTTCATTTCCGCAGTACTGTAGGCAATACTATTTCCTTTACCCGGAAAGTCTTCCCTCCTCATTCCTCAAAACTCTGCCGCTCTATGCTATACATTTCAAGACCCTCTACCTTTGGAGAGGAGTAATGATTTTTTTCCTTTCTGCTACCAACGCCCACATATACTTACTCTTTATACTAACATGCATTTTTCAGATATTAAACACCCATATGCAGAGGCACTGTACTAGGTGCTGGAGTTATGATTACTCCCTGCCAATGTAATAGTCATATATGTGTAAATGTATGGAAATAATACTAAATAATAAATGTACAAATGTACAAAAATATAATATAAAAATAAATGCACAGAAGAATGTATGAGAATACACACACACAGAAACTAACTCTGCATGTTCATGTTTAATCTCAGTCTTTCAAAGATAGCTTCTCTGCCCTTCTAACCTTTCTGCAAGAATAATGCTGGTAGTTTCTTTCTTTCTGAGGCAGGGTCTCACTCTCTCACCCAGGCTGGAATACAGTGGCATAATCACTGCAACCTCTACCTCCTGGGTTCATGCGATCCTCCTGACTCAGCCTCCTGAGTAGCTGGGACTACAGGCGTTTGCCACCGTGCGTGGTTAATTTTTCTGTTTTTTATGGAGATGGGGTTTTGCCATGTTGCCCAGGCTGGTCTTGAACCCCTCGGTTCAAGAGATTCACCCACCTCAGCCTCCCAAAGTGCTGGAATTACAGGCATGAGCCACCACCCCCAGCAATGCTGGTAGTTTCATGTGATGACTTCCAGAAGAAATAAACTAGAGGTATTTTTCTCTTGGCCACCTACTCAGCAAGAGAGTATCCCACACCGTACACATGAAACCCTTAAATGAGGAGGCAGAATGCCCCTTTATAGCGTGAGACTTCTTGCCAGTAAGCGGCTAACACCCTGCATAACTTAGGGAGGTGAAAAGAGTTTAGTCATTTACCCACAGGCACACAACTATTTTCTCAGCCAAAATAGGATTCATTTAAGGTAGAGCATCTGTGACAGGGAGAGGATTTGATAGAGATCCAGGTCAAGACTGGGAGTTATGCATTATGCTCCTTTTTAAGTGCTTTTATCCCTTTATTTTACTTTCTTAGAAATAGTCTTTTTCTTCCAGAAGGTGAATGCTGTGATTTCTTTATAACCTTGGCATTCTTAGTTTCCAGTGGTTCCATCATCAGGTTGTAATTCGACAAGTAGCTGGGGTGGGTGCCTTCTGTGTGTAGCTAGTTTTGCAATAGGCCGTGTGAAATAGGCAAGAAGCTGTTAGGAGAACAGATCTCTAAACCCCATGGGACTGAAAGGACCAAGTAAACACTGTATGAACGGAGGTGACAGTGCATCTGTAGGGGTTCAGAGAAGGAGGAGTCAGTGTGAGCTGGGAAGGTCTGGAAAGAGATGAAACTCGAGGTCATTGAAGGATGATGGGTGGAGATTTATGGAAGGAGGCAAAGAGGGCGGGCATTCCATATCTAGTAAGCTTTCCCTCATTCCTAATTTCACGCATTCCTACCTGGCTATGACGATCATTGCCCTCTGCTGATGTCTTTCCTGAGTTCGTAGGAATTCTACAAACCTCACGAAGAGGATTTCGAAGGCAGGAGTGGTCTGCTTCCTCATTCCATGTATTTTTTCTTCCTGGAAAGACAGATAAAGGGATGGATGTTGACCAGACAAAATAAGATGGAGTCAACCCCTCACCACTCCTCTCCTGCTTTAAATTCAGAAATATTTCTAACATATTTTACCAACTAGAGATGTCTGATTTTCAAGTGTAAAACACTCTCTAGATGTGTTAAGCGGCCTCAGCTCTTCTTTGGAGTGCAGTGACTTTAATTAGATTAGCATTTAGCTGTTACCAAGAACTCTGGAAATGGGAATTTTATTTGGGGCAGAAAGAAGGAAGATAGAATTCTGAGCAGGGTCAGGAAAAGATTCTTAAATTGGCTGCCTCAGTGGCTGTACTTAAGATCATCATGGCCAGTTGGGGAAGTTGTAAATGTCAGTCTTCCCATCTCTTAAGGTCCCCTCAGTCTGGGCTGATCAAGTCTGGGTTCTTGGATCAGTCCACTGTCTTTCCAACCAATCTCCCTAGGAGAAAGAAAAGAGAAGATGGTATTCAGATGAAGTGGTGAAGACATATATATAAACCTCCATCTTCTCCATAACACATGGGAGATGTTTCTGTGTAAGTGTGTAAGTTAGTACATGATGAAGGATGAACAGACAGATGTGAGACACTGTTGGAGTTCACAAAAGAGAGAGAGGCCAGGGCTGGCTGAGTTCTGTTTGACTGTGGCCCCTGGAGTCCTTCCAAGCCAGCTTTATGTGCTCTCCTCCCATCTGCCTTGACCCCTCCCAGGCTGTGGAGAACTTTATCTACTCCTGCGCTGGCTGCTGCGTGGCCACGTACGTCTTGGGCATCTGTGACCGACATAACGACAACATCATGCTGAAGACCACTGGTCACATGTTCCACATTGATTTTGGCCGCTTCCTGGGCCATGCCCAGATGTTTGGCAACATCAAGCGGTAAGTGATCTCCTGAAGCCAGGGTGTGAGTGGAGGGCAAGGAGGTGAGCAACAGTGGTTCAGAGCTGGGACACAAGCCCATGACGGAAGCAGCTGGGCCTCAGTTCATGGTCCCAGGGCTGAGCAGCATTGGAGGAGAGAAGACTGATAAAGAGGTCAAGTCCTTGCAGGGCCTTGCAGAAGAATGTGGGGACCAGCTGTTCTTCCCTACCAAGGACTGAACAAAGGGAAATGAACCCAAACTGTAGCAAAAAGGAACGCGATCAGATCTCCAGAAAAAAACATTGCCAGCTCACAGATAAGGAACCAATGAAGGATATAGAGATCTTTTAAGATTAAGGTAGGAAAGGAACAAAGAAAAAGTTAGAGCCCCATCTATCCAGTGTGTCCATGTGATCAGGGATGAGGGAAACTGACTCCTGATGCAGCCCATATGGTGGGCTTCCTCCTCCATGTTGACCTTCTACCTGTATGTTCCCCTTGGCTCAGGGACCGTGCCCCCTTTGTCTTCACCTCGGACATGGCGTATGTCATCAACGGGGGTGACAAGCCTTCCAGCCGCTTCCATGATTTTGTTGACCTTTGCTGCCAAGCCTACAACCTCATTCGCAAGCACACCCACCTCTTCCTCAACCTTCTGGGCCTGGTGAGGAGATCCATCCCTTTCCGAACACCTTCTTATTACCTGGCACCATCTTTAAGACTTCCCTGTCTTGCTGCAGAGGGTTTCTAGAGATTTACCTCTCTGAGTCCCAACTGAATACCTGCCTGCTCTAGATAAAGGCAGGGACCCAGACTACCTGAGGACAATGATGTCTGTGTAGGTGTCTGACTCCCTGCTCCAGCCCCTCAGTTCCTGTGGCCCTCCGGCCACTGCCCACAGCATCTGTCTACCACCCTCTAGAAGGGTTAGGGAGCCTAGCTGTAGAAAACCTTGCCTAAGGGTGGTGAAGCAGCAAGAACTCTCTGTTGTTACAGGCACCCTCTCTTCTTCTTTCTGCTCCTTCTAGATGTTGTCCTGTGGGATCCCTGAGCTGTCAGACCTGGAGGACCTCAAGTATGTGTACGATGCCCTGAGGCCTCAGGACACAGAGGCCAATGCCACTACCTACTTCACTAGGTAACATGATTCCCTAAGCGAATGAGCACTGCCCACCCTGAGTAATTCCCAGCCCACTGGATTGGCAGGAGGAGGATTGGGGAAAGGTAAAAGGCTTAGCTCAGATGCTAGAGCCTAGAACTGACCACGTGGATATATTGTCCCGACTTTGCCCGTGATTTAGGTAAATCATTTTGCTTCTCTCAGCCTTGGTTTCCCATCTGTGTTTTGATGCTACCCTTTGCACACAAGAGTATTTGCCATCACTCTTATCTACATTCTCACCAGGTCCCAGTCAAATATTTTGTCTGTGGGGCAATGTATAATGTGGCTTTTGTAATAATTTTTAACTTTCTTGGTCAGACCCTTCCCCCTTGCCAAAATGTAGAGTTCCATGATTCAGTTTCCTTATATTTGACAATGTTTTTAGGCACGCTGTGTGTGAGAGCAAGGATGCGTTTATCTATGAATGCCTACAAAATGTTGTCCACGCAGATAATGTTCTCCACTCTTTTTGGAACTCAGAGAATTAAACTTTCTCTGTTAGGTCTCCTAACACAGGACCTCTCCCTCTGAATTGAAATCTCTAGATTCAACAGTGCTTGGTGAGGTTCTATTGTACTGAACCTTGAAATTTTTTGACCGTGATATTTAGACATTTACACAGGGTTGCTAGTTCCTTTCTACCTTGGTTTGATGGTCTTTGGCTCAGGTGGGCAGCCAGGGGAGGAGATAAGACCCTAGGGTTCACATGAGCAAACTGCATGAGATAATTGTGTGCCAATCATTTGCTTTATGGGGATATGACACAGAAAAATGGTTTGTCTGAGCTGAGCTGATTGTTAGTCTCAGTAGTCAGGAATATTCCTTGGAACACCCCTGTCGAGGCAGCAGGAATTTGGGTTCATAGTTATATCCTCTTTTCTCATCCTCCTGCCAGGTTGATTGAGTCCAGCCTGGGCAGTGTAGCCACAAAGCTCAATTTTTTCATCCATAATCTGGCTCAGATGAAGTTCACGGGCTCAGATGACCGGCTGACCCTCTCCTTTGCCTCCCGAACACACACTCTCAAGAGCTCTGGCCGAATCAGTGATGTTTTCCTCTGCCGCCATGAGAAAATCTTCCACCCCAACAAAGGCTATGTAAGTGTTTTCTCCAATCTGACCCCCTTTCTTGCTCTCTGCTGACCCTGGTTTATTGGGGTCCTGGCTTTTTTCACACTTGCACAGTGGGCACAGGAGTTGACCAAGCGTCCTGTGCTGGGAGCAGTCCTGGACCACTTCCCTCTCCTTTGCTCACGTGACCTGCCTAGAATTGGGGAACTGAATTGAATGGTTATTCCCTCTGAGTCAAGGATCCTGGCGACATATGTGGGAAGTCTGCTTTTAGATTCCTGTGTATGTGCTATCATCTGTCTCCACTGGAGAGACTCTTGCCCTCTTCCTTCTGGAACGTGCCCCTCCCCTCAGCACATACATACACTTCCAGACCTTTCCTACCCCCTTCACTGGGTGCAGAGTGCTCGGCAGGTACACCCTAAGATCTGGACCTTTGCAGGTATATGTGGTAAAGGTGATGCGAGAGAACACTCACGAGGCCACCTATATCCAGCGGACCTTTGAGGAGTTCCAGGAATTACACAATAAGCTGCGGCTGCTCTTCCCCTCTTCCCACTTGCCCAGGTAGCTGCCCCCTTTACCATCTGCACAGAGGGATGTGGGGGAGGGGGAAAGGATACGGGATGGGAGTTGGGCAGGACTGCAGGGGCAGAAAATACCCTTTTGGACTAAAGATCTGCCTGCTTTGCTTGGCCTGGTATGGAGTTTGATGACAAGTGCTCCCCCTACTGGCCAAGTTCTCCTTGCACGCAAGAGCTCTCACTCCAGGCCCCCTGACCAGAAGGGAAGGCATGGAGAATTTGATGTTTCAAAATTTCTAATTTTTTAGAGTTACACCATTTTTCAAATGGATAAGCAAAATGTCATATGTACATACAGTGGCATATTATTCAGCATTTAAAATGGAGGGAAATTTCGACATGAGTAACAACGTGGATGGACCTTGAGGACATTCTGCTAAGTGAAATAAGCCAGTCACAAAAAGACGAAAACGGCGTGATTCCACTTATCGGAGTTACCTGGAGTAGTCAGATTCCTAGAGACAGAAAGTAGAAAGCTAGTTACCCAGGTCTGAGGGGAGGGAGGTGTGGTTGTTTTAATGGATACAGAGCTTCAGTTTTGCAAGATGAAAAGAGCTATGAAGTTGGATAGTGGCGATGGTTGCACAACAATGTGAATATGGTTAATTCCACAGAACTGTACACTTAAAAATGGTTAAGATGGCAAATTTTATGTTATATGTATTTTACTGCAATTTTTAAAAAAACTACTTTTCAGGCTGGGTGCAGTGGCTCATGCCTGTAATCCCAGCACTTTGGGAGGCCGAGGTGGGCAGATTGCCTGAGGTCAGGAGTTTGAGAGCAGCCTGGCCAACATGGTGAAACCCCATCTCTGCTAAAAATACAAAAGTTAGCGTGGTGGCATGCTTTTATAATCCCAGCTACTCAGGAGGCTGAGGCAGGAGAATTGCTTGAACCCAGGAGGCACAGGTTGCAGTGAGCTGAGATTACGTGACTGCACTCCAGCCTGGGCGACAAAGCGAGACTCAGTCTCAAAACAAACATACAACTTTTTAAATGAATTTTTTGGCTGGGTGCAGTGGCTCACACCCATAATCCCAGCACTTTGGCAGGCAGAGGCGGGCAGATCATGAGCTAAGGTGTTCGAGACCAGCCTGGCCAACATGGTGAAACCCCCCTCTACTAAAAATACAAAAATTAGCTGGGCGCAATCGTGCGTGCCTGTAATCCCAGCTACTGGGGAGGCTGAGGCAGGAGAATCGCTTGAACCCGGGTGGTGGAGGTTGCAGTGAGCCGAGATTGCACCACTGTACTCCAGCCTGGGCAACAGAGCAAGACTCCATCTCAGAAAAAAAAAAAAAAGGATTTTTACTTTGATGGGAGAAACTGAGGGCTCCCAAGGCATTTCTGGGGAGCCACAGGACTCTGGCCAGCTGTTTGGTTTTCTTGTCTGGGGTCCTTGGGAATGTAGGTGTAAGATGCTGAGCAGGTGTCAGACCTGGGCACAGATGTGCAGCACAGGAGGAATTGTGAGGGTCCCTAGAAATGAAGGCTGCTGGGAAATGGGTGCTAGGAGACTCGAAATGCAAATGAAATGTGTGAAAAAAGCCCACTGTGTCCATTTTCTTTCCCCATCTTCACCTCCTGCATCCCTGCTGCCTACGCTGCCTACGCTGCCACGCCAGCTTCCCTAGTCGCTTCGTGATCGGCCGCTCCCGGGGAGAGGCAGTGGCCGAGCGGCGGAGGGAGGAGCTAAACGGTTACATCTGGCAGTTGATCCACGCAGCCCCTGAGGTGGCCGAGGTGGGTGGGCTTGCCTGTCCTCCTGGCTGTCCAGGCTGGTGGGGGTGGTTGGGGAGGCAGGGGTGGAAGCATCCAGAGCCACTAGGAGTCAGGAACAGGACTCGGCACTTCGGGGTCTGTGGGCTGAATGACCAGTGCTCTAGTCTGCAGAAGACAGGAGGCGAGTGGGTCCAGCCTCACAGGGTTATGCACAGAAATGCAATTAAACAGAAACGTGAATGCATCTAGGCACATGGTCTGAGAGTGATGAGAATGAGCAGAGCCTCAGAAAGGAAGGCTTCTCCTTGAGGAAAAAATTTTTTGAGCAGGTTGAGTATGTATTATCAACCTAGATTTTGTTTTAAAACAAGTAGTATTATAATGGCCCTAACAAAGTCATGAGGAATCCTATTATTAAATACTTTAACAAATCATCTGACCCTATCGTCCATGTTTCCTTCCTATTTGTCCATATGCAAGCATGATATTTACAGTTTTATAGTGGTCATAGCTTAAGTATAACTCTAGATTCTGAGCTTTTTTTTCCTTAGCGTTTATAGTATGCATATGCTATAACTTTCAATATCTGCTCCCCCAAACACCAACTTGCAGTACCATATTCTTAACCATTTTATTTTTGCAAGATATTTAGAGTATGTCTTTTTTTTTCCCAGTATTAATGTTCAAGTGAGTATTTTCACACAGTTTGTTTGTTTTCTGAGACAGGATCTTGCCCTGTCATTCAGTCTGGAGTGTGGTGGCACAATCACAGCTCACTGCAGCCTCGACCTCCCAGGCTCAAGTGATCCTCCCACCTAGCCTCCTGAGTAGCTGGGACTATAGGCATGGGCCACCACACCCTGCTAGTTTTTGTATTTTTTTGTAAAGATAGGGTTTCACTGTGTTACCAGGCTGGTCGCAGACTCCTGAGCTCAAGCAATCCTCTGGCCTCAGCCTCCCAAAATGCTGGAATTACAGGCATGAACCACTGCACTCAGCCTGTTTTTTCTTTTTAAACTTTTTAGTATTAAAACTTTAAAACATGCAGAAAAGTAGAGAAACAATATAATTAGCACCTCTTTATCTATCACCTAAATAGTTAACATTTTGCTATATTTGCTTCATCTATATTTTAGGAAATATTTTAAAATAAATTACAGGCTGGGTGCAGTGGCTCACGCCTGTAATCTTAGCACTTTGGGAGGCCGAGGCAGGTGGATCACCTGTGGTTAGGAATTTGAGACCAGCCTAGCCAACATGTCTCTACTAAAAATATAAACATTAGCTGGGCGTGGTGGCGCACGCCTGTAATCTCATCTACTTGGGAGGCTGAGATTGCAGTGAGCTAAGATTGCGCCACTGCACTGCAGCCTGGGCGTCAGAGCAAGACTCCATCTTAAACAAACAAACAAAAAAGTAAATTACAGACATCATAATACTGTACCCCCTAAATAGTATGCATCTCTAAACAATAAAGCCTCATTTGTAACATAACTACAGTATTATTATATTATCCAGTACATAGTCCATATTCAGAATTTCCCTATCATCCCCCAAATTCCTTTTACTGTTGGCTTGTTAGAGCTATAATCCACATAAGAACTGCATGTTGTTGGTTGTTATATTTCCTAAGTCTTTTTACATCTGGAACAGTCCCCTTCCTTTTTGTATTGGGCCATTGTCTTATTGAAGAATGGCCCTGTTTCTGATTCTGTTCCAGTGTGATTTGGTGTACACCTTCTTCCACCCACTGCCTCGGGATGAGAAGGCTATGGGCACCAGCTCAGCTCCTAAGTCCTCAGGTACAGTATCTTCTCTGAGACCTTCCTGCCAACTCCTCTGAACTACTCCAAGGGTAACTGCTTCTTCCCCAACCTCTTCTCAGTTCTCTCTCCTTGACTTGCCTCCTGTTCCTTTTCTTACTCTCCAGGGAATCCAGTTTCCCACTCAGGCTGTGGGGTCCATAGCTCCTTACCTGGGTTCCCCACAGGGTGGATATTCAGTTGATTGTATCCTCAGACCCATCCCAACCCAGTTAACTCTAATCACATTCAGACTACACTTATGTAGATGCCTCATGAGTATCAGGAACCTGACGTGGAGAGGCTGGGGCAAGGGGGCTCAGAAAGAAAACAGAAACCCCTGCCTGGCCTCTTGACCCTTCTTGGTTTCGTTTGTCCCTACAGATGGCACGTGGGCCCGGCCCGTCGGAAAGGTGGGAGGGGAGGTGAAGCTGTCCATCTCCTACAAAAACAATAAACTCTTCATTATGGTGATGCATATTCGGGGCTTGGTAAGTGCCTGCACAGCCCTGATTTTTTTTTTTTTTCTTTTTTAATCTTTCTTGAGCTACTTTTTTGTCTGGGCAGACCTTCTCTGCCCCATGTCATACAGGTAACCACCACAGTCTATTGAGCGTCCACCATGGACCTATAACCATAGCAAGCCTATGGTTTGACCAGGCAATACATGATACAGCTTTTTGTAGCTGTGGTCTTTGACAAGTAACCTAATCATTCTGAGCCTCATTAGAATGAGGAAAATGTTAGCACCTACCTCATAGAGTCATTATGGGGATTAAATGAGATAATGCTTGTGGAATACTTAACACCATGCCTGGTTTTATTAGAATAATGATTATTATCGTAATTATCATAAGGGAGAGGCCCAAGGGGCTCATTACCTGGCTATAATGATTCAGCAACCACGTGATGTCCTTTGAACATGATCAAGGCAGTATATAATGACTAAATTTTTGGTATGAGTTCTAAGAACATTGTGACTAGAAGAGGAAGGGAACTTTTTTTTTTTTTTGGGGTTGGAGTTTTGCTCTGTCACCCAGGCTGGAGTGCAGTGGCGTGATCTTGGCTTACTGCAACCTCCTGGGTTCGAGCGATTTTCCTGCCTCAGCCTGAGTAACTGGGACTACAGGCACATGCCACTACACCTGGCTAATTTTTGTATTTTTTTAAATTAGAGATCGGGTTTCATCATGTTAGCTAGACTGGTCTCAAATGCCTGACTTCAGGTGATCCACCCACCTCAGCTTCCCAAAGTGCTGGGATTACAGGTGTGAGCCACCATACCCAGCCAGGAAGGGAACTTGAATACTTGCATTGTGCTGTATCCTATGTTAGGCATTTTGTGTAGGTTGGGGCAGTGGGATATGGCAGGAGGAGCATGAACATTCATCCATGTATTCTTCATTCATTCAATAAATGTTTGAGTGCCTGCTGTATACTGATACATTAGCTCTGGGTGTGGGGAAAAACAAAACAAAATCCCTGCCCTCAGGGGGCTTACATTCTAGTTGGAAAGGGCAGACAGGCAGATAAGTAAAATATATGGCATAGAAGATGGTAGTAAGAGCTATGGCAAGAAATAAAGCAGAGAAGGAATGCTAGGATGGAATGAAGGGAGTGGAATTTGCAGAGTGGTCAGGGAAGGCCTCATTGCTGAGGAGGTGTCTTAGCAAGTTGAAGAAGGTGAGGGAGGGAGCCATGTTTATGCATCTGAGGGCAGACTGTCCCAGGCAAAGGGAGCAGTTAGATCCGACAGCCCAAAGCTGGGAGCCTGCCAGGGGTGCGTCAGAAACAGCAAGGGGCCAGTGGCTGAAGCCGATGGAGCAAAGTCGAGAGGAGTGGATGATGAGGTTGGAGAAGGTATGATGGACCAGCACCTTACCCCGATAGTAAGAACCCTGGCCTTTTCCCTGAATGAGATGGGTTTTGAGCAGAGGCGTGACATGATCTGACTTAGGTTTTAAAAGGATCAGGCTGGGTGTATCACTAGTTGGCTGCCCTTGAGCAAGCAACTCAATCTCTCTGACTCATATCTCTACCTCTTAGGGGTTAAGTGGACCAAATGACAAAATAGACAAGGATAGTAGATATGGCAGGAAGATACCTGGGAACATGATGTTTCACTCAAAACAGAGCACATTATGGGATGTCCCGAGGATTTGGATAAAAAGTATAGACTTGATATCATAGACAAATCAATTGATGTTTTAATAGGACACAATGTTATCATGGTAGATATTTTTATCAGAATGGAGTGAGCTTGAAAGCAGACAAATAAACTAGTTGTGCATTGCAAGACGCCAGATGGCAGATGAGAGTCTGGATCAGAGTGTGATCATGGGAATGGTGATGAAGAGACAGATGTTAAAAATCTTAACATTTTTTGGTTCTCATTCTGTTGTAGCAACTGCTCCAGGATGGAAATGACCCTGACCCCTATGTGAAAATTTACCTCCTTCCTGACCCTCAGAAAACCACTAAGAGGAAAACCAAAGTGGCCCGGAAAACGTGCAATCCTACCTACAATGAGATGGTGGGTGGGGAAAATGGAGGGGTAGGGCAGGGGTTGGCAACCTGCGCCTGTTCTCCTAGCTAAAGTCATATTGAAGACTGTATTAAGACGTCGTATTAAGAACACAGCTGTACTTTCTGATTTAGGTTTTGCCTGTGGCTGCTTTCATGTTGCAATGGCAGGATTGAGTAGTAACATAGACCATGTGGCTTATCAAGCCTAAAAATATTTACTGTCTGTCCCCTTACATAAAGAATTTGCCAGCCCTTTTGGGCTGGGATTTCCTGGCTGGGGTCTGGCCCTATCCTGTGGGAAGGAGAAGCCTGCTGGTCCTGTGCTGAAAATGAGCAGTGGCCCCAATACAAAGCCCTCACCTGCTTGAACTCTGAGCAAAGAACAGAGTTCATTAATGCTTCCCTTGGAGTCTGTGTACCTTGTGTACCTTCTGTATGACCTGGGACTCTGCAGGGTCAGTGCTAGCCTCAGCTGGATCAACCCCCAACAGACTTCACCATCTCTCTCTCTCAGGTTCCCTCTGGATTCTTCTTGTTCCTTCTCTCACCACTTCCCTCACCCATCTCTGTTTGCAGTTGGTATATGATGGGATCCCCAAGGGAGACCTGCAGCAGCGGGAGCTCCAGCTGAGTGTGCTGAGTGAGCAGGGATTCTGGGAGAACGTCCTCCTCGGTGAGGTGAACATCCGCCTGCGAGAGCTGGACCTGGCTCAGGAGAAGACTGGCTGGTTTGCACTGGGATCTCGAAGCCATGGCACCTTGTGAGCCCAGCAGAGCCACCACCCAGGATCCCAGGCTGGTGGTGGGAGCTGGAGGAGAGGACTCTCCCCTGCGAGACTCTTCCTAGTGAAGGGCCAGGGCCCTGGGCGGGCCCCCTGCTCGGTCCAGGTGATTCTGGCCTTTGTAGTAGGAGGCAGGGAGAGTAAGACATGCTCTGCTGTCTCTTCCTCTGGAGACTGAACTGGGTTGGTTGTGATGAGCAGCCCCTTGGAGGCTGTGAGGTTGCAGCAAAGTTTTAAGTTTACCTTGTGTCAAGGGAGCAATGCTTGGTTTGGGGAGTGTGTGGGGTGGGCTGTATGAAGTAGCATTTTGGGGGTGGGTGGGCGGATATCTTTATTTTTATTTTTAAAAAATGAAATAGTGATGTTGTCCTAACTGGGACAGGAAGCCTTGCGAGAAGGGACATACCTATGCCCCAGAAGGCAAGAGAGGAAGACTATTTGGACTTTTTGTATGATTAAGGTTCTTATTGGACTTTTCCCTAGGTTTTTTTTTTGTTGTTGTTGTTGTTTTGTTTTCTAGCTATAGGAACTATTAGGGGAGGGGCCCAGTGGGTCCTCGGCCAGAGCCCTCTCTAAGGACAGGTTGGGGAGGGCTGGGGAGGGCTGCCTGTGCTGGACTGAGGCTTGCGCCACTGGGCCTTTCTGATTTTGCCTCCAAAGGAGAGCGCTGTGATACCTACATGTGTAAGGAAGGGCCTTCCGTATTGGGGTTCTGCCAAGGACCCGTATTCAGGGACCCATGCTCTTTTTGGGGGACTTTTCCTTTTGTCTTCCCTACTTTATTAGGACTTGCCCTGAATACCATTTTCTACTCCTTGCCCCTTCATTCTCCCGGCCCTTCCGGGAGTCAGCTGGTCTCTATGAATAGGCTGGGGGTGCTTCCCCATAGGTCTCTCCCTTCATTTCTCTCTGGTGGGACAAAACGCTGACTTAGTCCTTAGATGTAGTTTCACCCAAGAGCACCTTGGCCCTAGGAAGAGGTCCCTGGGCTGCAGATGCCACTGTGACTGCTTGCTAGGTAGCCTCTGGAAAGCATTCACCATCCATCACTCCCCACTTCTTTCTGCTGTGCTGCTTCCCTCCCAAACTCCATTTCTGTCACCCTTTTTATAAGACTTTTCCTCATTCTGTGGGGCCATAAACCTATTTAGTCTGGAGCCAAAGGGATGCCCTATCTGAAGGAAAGGGGCATGGGGTGGGGGATTCCATCAAAACTGTTATTTTTTGCCCCATGATTTTTCTTTGGTCAGTAGGAGGCTGGATTGGAGTGATTATTCCCCTGGAGCTAAGCTCAGGAGCCCAAAGGGAGAGACTGAGACTGAGTCTCTTATCTCTTCATATTCTTTATTCCCTACCAGATGGTGTTTTTTTTTTTTTTAATTTTTTTTGGAGACAGAGTCTCGCTCTGTCACCAGGCTGGAGTGCAGTGGCATGATCTCGGCTCACTGCAACCTCTGCCTCCCAGGTTCAAGCGATTCTCCTACCCCAGCCTCCTAAGTACCTTGGAATACAGGCATGCACCACCATGCCCAGCTAATTTTTTGTATTTTTAGTAGAGATGGGGTTTCACCATGTTGGCCAGGCTGGTCTCGATCTCTTGACCTCGTGATCTGCCTGCCTTGGCCTCCCAAAGTGCTGGGATTACAGGTGTGAGCCACCACGCCCGGCCCCAGATGGATTTTACATTTGCTCTTTTGTGTTTCACTCCAAAGGGTTGTCTTCCTTGCCAAAAAGAGGGAGGGACTTGGAATTTGATACTAACTTTTAAAACCAGAAGCGGCTGGATATTTCCCATGATTGGGAAAAGAGTGAAATGAGGACATTCTGTAAACTGTCCCTCCCTAATTCCAAGGATCAGAAACTCCTGTTTTGCTGACTCATTCCATAACTGGAGAAAGAAGCTCCATTGACCGAAGCCACAGGGCAGCATGGAAGTTTAAATTTTCTCTAAAATTAAAATGTCAAGGATAAAGCTGGCTGCTTCCGGTGGGGGGAAGGGGAGTGGGGAGTGGGTGGTGAAACTTTTCCAGATGAACGGACCATAAATGTGTTACTGGCTCTGTGCCTGTAGCTCATTTTATTATGACCCTGTATGCTCCTGATTTAAAGAGATCTGTGTACTGTTTACTTCCCACTTCCCAGAATCCCTTGTATCTCCTTTCTTGGGAATTGTATTTTCTAATAAATGACATTTGAGAAAAAAATGAAATGATAATTTATTTTTTTGACACAGGGTCTCTCTCAGTCGCCCAGGCTTGGAGTGCAGTGGTGAGATCTAGGCTCACTCCCTCCCAAACTCCATTTCTGTCACCCTTTTTATTCAGCCTTCCCAGTAGCTGGGACCACAGGTGCACATCACCATGCCTGGCTAATTTTTTTTATTCTTTGTAGAGACAGGGTTTTGCCATGTTTCCCAGGCTGGTCTTGAACTCCTGGGCTCAAGTGATCCACCTGCCTCAGCCTCCCATAATTTTTTTTTTTTTTTTTTGAGACGGAATCTTGCTCTGTCGCCCAGGCTGGAGTGCAGTGGTGCAATCTTGGCTCACTGCAAGCTCCGCCTCCCGAGTTCAAGTGATTCTCCTGCCTCAGCCTCCCGAGTAGCTGGGACTACAGGCGCCCACCACCACACCCGGCTAATTTTTTGTATTTTTAGTAGAGACGGGGTTTCACCCTGTTAGCCAGGATGGTCTCAATCTCCTGACCTCGTGATCCGCCCGTCTTGGCCTCCCAAAGTGCTGGGATTACAGGCGTGAGCCACTGCACCCAGCCAGCCTCCCATAATTTTTAAAAGTAATTTTTAGAAGAGACAAGGTTTTGCTACGTTGTGCAGGCTGGTCTTGAACTCCTGAGTCCAAGCAATCCTCTCACCTTGTCCTCCCAAAGTGTTGGGATTACAGGTGTGAGCCACTGCACCCAGCTGAAACTATCATTTTAAAGACTGGCTGATGTTTGGCCGGGCACAGTGGCTCATGCCTGTAATCCCAACACTTTGGGAGGCCGAGGTGGGTGGATCACCTGAGGTCAGGAGTTCAAGACCAGCTTGACCAACATAGTGAAACCCTGTCTCTACTAAAAATACAAAAATTAGCCAGGCATGGTGGCACACGCCTGTAATCTCAGCTACTCAGGAGGCTGAGGCAGGAGAATCACTTGAACCTGGGAGCTGGAGGTTGCAGTGAGCTGAGATTGTGCCATTGCACTCCAGCCTGGGCAGCAAGAGTGAAACTCCATCTCAAAAAAAAAAAATTGGTTGATGTTCAAATGTTTACATTGAAACATCTGCTGGATGAGATGAAAATAATAGTAGTGGTTTTTTATACCACCAAATGGTAACTTTTATATGTACCAGTGCACTGCACTGACCATTTTCACATGTCAGCTAAATCTATCCTCACAACAACTTGATCAGGTGCGTACCATTACCCATTTTACAGATGAAGAAACTGAAGCTCAGAGGGATGAAGTAACTTGCCTGAGGGCACACAGCCAGTAAGTCATGGAGTTTGAACCCAGGTTTGTTGCACTCCAAACCTTGTGCAACACCTCCTAGGCAGTGTTTAATACAATCCCTTAAATAGGTCTAATTGATATTTCAGGTGCTTTTTATATATGATATCATTTTCCATTACGACTGCCCTGGACAGTAAGTATGGCTCATTCATGAATTCTGTCAACAAACATTCACAGTTCTTACCAGTGCTACCTAGTGGCATGCCTCCATTCATAAAAAAATACATTTGTGTTGAATGCATCCTGGCCCTGTACTAGGTACCAGACTAGGGCTTACCAAGGTAAATTAAGACAGTTCTCTGCATTTAAGAGGTTTCCTACCAGGGCTGGGTGCGGTAGCTCATGCCGGTAATCCCAGCACTTTGGGAGGCCGAGGTGGGCAGATCACGAGGTCAGGAGATTGAGACCGTCCTGGCTAACACAGTGAAACCCCATCTCTACTAAAAATACAAAAAATTAGCCGGGTGTGGTGGCAGGTGCCTATAATCCCAGCTACTTGGAAGGCTGAGGCAGGAGAATCGCTTGAACCCGGGAGGCAGAGGTTGCAGTGAGCCGAGATTGCGCCATTGCGCTCCAGCCTGGGCAAAAAGAGTGAAACTCTGTCTGGAAAAAAAAGAAGTTTACTATCTAGTAATATTTAACCAACTCCATTTTATAGGAGAAAAAAACTGAAACTTGAGATGCCTCGCAACTATCAAGCCACTACAGCATAACCATAGCCCGGAAGTGAACCCCCCAAGTGCAGGATGGAAGTGAAGTGACCCTTGTTCAAGCATTGTACCCAGAAGTCTCCAAAACTCTCCAGTGGGGAGTCATGTTTCATACTGGGGAATTGTGAGGGGGCTTCCAGGGGATTTTCCAGTAGTAAACAGTAGGAAGTGTTACCTGCTTTATTTCTAAGTGATCTTGAGGTATCACTGCAGTTCTGGGCAAGTCCCTTTGGACTTTTTAAAGGTTAGTACTTGAGTCTGCCAAGATTCTTAGTGAAGGAAATTTCCTGGCCAAATGGGGTAGAAATCTGAACCCTCCTGAGGGAGTGGGAATGAGAGAGGTGGGGAATGAGAGAGAGGGGTTGCCCAAGGCGAAAAGAAACAAAAGCAGCCCAGGGGGCCCAGATTTCTGAGTTCAAAGAGAGGTGGCAAAAATGAAGCAGCCCAGCTTGCCGAGATTTGGGGAGCAAAGATTAGATTGGATTTGAAAGGTGAAAAAATAGCATTTTAAATTGGGAGAGAATTTTCTGGTGGCTGGGACTTGTCTAAAGTGTCTGATCAATTCAACTAACAACACTAATGGCTTACACTGGGTGAGGTGAGGTGTCAGGTACTGTGGCTACTCAGACAACAAAGGTGTGGATCCTGTCTTCAAGGAACTCAGTCTTTCAAGGGAAGCATGCATGGAAATAAATACAGTGCAGTGTGATATGGATAAGGTGGTATGTGAAGGGGCGGGGTGGGCAGAGTGGGCTTCAGAGAAGATATCTGCGTGTTAAAATCAATCAGAGCTTCAGGCTTTATTCTTAGGGTGATGGGGTTTTGAGAAAGGGAACTGCAGGGGCCAGGCACGGTGGCTCATGGCTATAATCACAGCACTTTGGGAGGCCAAGGCAGGCCGATCAACTGAGGTCAGGAGTTCGAGACCAGCCTGGCCAACCTGGTGAAACCCCATCTCTACTAAAAATACAAAAAATTAGCCAGGTGTGGTGGTGAACGCCTGTAATCCCAGCTACTCAGGAAGCTGAGGCAGGCGAATCACTTGAACCCAGGAAGTGGAGGTTGCAGTAAGCTGAGATAGCACCACTGCGTTGTAGCCTGGGCAACAGAGAGAGACTCCATCTCAAAAAACAAACAAAAAAAACGGTAATGTCTAATTTATGTTAAGAGATCATTCTTCTGGCTGCTGTTTGAAGCAAAAATAGAAGCAGAAGAGGAGGCTATTGTAGTCCAGGAGGGAAATGATGGTAGCTTGGGGATGACGGAAAGTGGTCAAATTCTGGATATATTTTGAAGGTAGAGCTGACACGACTTGCTGATGGACTGCGTATAGAATTGAGGGAAAGGGGAGTTGAGGATGACTCCTCAGTGTGGAACCTCAGAATGTAGGCAGAGTCCTCTGGAGGAATTACTGGGAGTGGGGAGGTAGGTTCAGTAGAGCTGAATCAAGACTTCTGATTGTGTTAAGTTTGAGATATGTGATAGAAATCTAAGTGGAGAAGTAACAATGGAATCTGAAGCCCAAGGGAAGTGAGTCTGGAAGTTTAGATATGGAAGTCATCAGCATTGAGGTGGTGTTTAATTCCATGGAATGATATGAGATCACCCAGGTTAGAGAGGCATGTGGGTAGATTGAGGCCAACATTTAGAGGAGGAGGAGCAGGTCATGGTGTCCTGGCAACCTAAAGAAGTATGATCAGTTTCCTGGGGCTCCGGTAACAAAGTATCACAAACTGAGAGGCTTAAACAGCAATGTATTTCTGGAGGTTGGAAGTCCAAAATCAAGGTGTCAGCAAGGTTGATTCCTTGTGAGGGCTGTGAGAGAGTCTGTTCCATGTTTCTCTCCTGGCTTTTGGAGGTTTGCTGGCAATCTGGAATTCCTTGGCTTATATATGCATCAACCCAATCTCTGCCTTCACATTGCTGTGGCATTCTCTCCGTGTGCATGCACGTGTCTGTGTCCAAATCTCCTCTTTTTATAAGGACGCTGTCATCTTGGATTAGAGCCCACCATAATGACCTCATCTTAACTTGATCATCTGCAAAGAACCTATTTCCAAATAAGATCACATTCACAGGTACTAAGAGGGTTAGGATTTTATCGTTTGGGGGACACACTTCAACCCCTAACAGTCAAGAGGAGTGAATATAGCAAAATGTTCTTGGTGACGTTGATAAGAGCTGCCTGAATGAGTGGTGGGGGTGAAAGTCACATTGGTGTAGGCTGGGGAGAGTATAGGTGAAGAGAAAGTGGAGACCATAAGCACCAACAACTCTCGAGAGGTTTCACTCTGGTGGTGCAGAAGCTTGGAGGGGTGTATATCTAGGGAAGGGTTTTTAAATTTTATTTATTATTATTTTTTTATTTACTTTTTTTGAGACAGAGTCTCGCTTTGTCACCCAGGCTGCAGGGTGGTGGTGAGCAGTCCTCCCTCCTCAACCTCCCGAGTAGCTGGGACTACAGGCATGAGCCACCAAGCCCAGTGAATTTTTTAAATTGTAGAGACAAGGTCTTGCTATGTTGTCCAGTCTGGTCTTGAACTCTTTGGCTCAAGCCCCCCGCCTTGGCCCCGCAAAGTGTAGGGATTACAGGCATAAGCCACCATGCTGGGTGGTCTTTTTATTTTTAATATAGGTGATATTAAGTTATGCTAATGTGAATGATCTAGTAGTGAGAGAAACATGTATGTTACTAGGGAGAAGTGATAAGAGAGGTCAGAATTATTCCTTGAGTAAAAATGGAGGGATTGCATCCAGGAGGCTTCTTGGGTTGTAGAGGGATTGAAGGCAGATTATGTGGGTCCAAATGCCAGTGGATTTGGTCAGGGAAAGATGAGGTGATTTATGTCCAGTTGTATCTGTTTTTTCTTGAAGTATGAGTGTGATCATAAACTGAGAATGTGTGTTTATGGGAAATGCTGGAAATTTGAAGAAAGAAGTATTGTGAGACAGTCTCAGAGTGTAGGAGAAGCAAAGCTTCTAGGGAACT